TTATTTTTTTTTATTATTATTATTATTATTATTACTTACTTACTGTGTCTCAAGTGGGATAAACTCCTGAAGTCTTACCTTCATGTTAGTTAAGAATGTGCATACATTGTGCTCCAAAGGATCGTTCAAAGGTATGCATTTCTGGAAGTTCATTCTATGATATCCACATAGGTCTACCATTACTATTGCGTACATTCCTCATCTGTCTTGGATAAAAGTAAATGTAATTCCCTTTGAATTTTTTTTTCTTACTGGTTAAATGTCATTTAATTACTTGGAATGGGGTGCAAGTCAGCTTGAAGGATAACAAAAGCAGATTGTTCTTGGAAAGACGATGACAATTGTTTCATTAATACAAACCTGTTTTTTATTTTGTTTGTTTTTTAAATGAAGACTGAATACAGTCAGTAAAACAAAGACAATAGATGACAAACTGTTAACCTGTCAGGCATGCCATTGGCACATAATGACTATAATTTAATTCTAAGAACATCCCATAAAGACAGGAGACCTTTCTTAATTGGCCCAGTAGAAAGAGTGACGTTGGTAAGAATAACAAAAATGTTCAAAATAAACTCCTCTGGGTGGCATCATAGAGCAAAGCAGCCAATAACAAGAATTTATTTTAAAGAAATCATATTTGCAAATCTTAGAGAGCACTAAATGTAACGTCTAGTTAATCTGAAGCAAATTTTTCTTCAGTATATAAGCTTTGACATTTTACAATAAGATCTTCAAATTATATCCTGAATATAGTATTTCATAAAGCAAGAAACCCCCTATGTAAATGTATAGATTCAACAAGTGTTGTATTTAATTGTATATTTACACATTTTATACAGATCTGAATCGTATGCAGAAAGATAATCAGGCTTTGGAATGGTGTCAGCCATTATTATTTGCATCCTGTGTCCGTGCAGTTAATTTGATACTAAAAAAAATGATCAAAATATTGAACAGATATGGAGACATGATACCGCTCATTCCAGTTACAGAGTTGCAAAGCATAGATGAAGAATGTTAAACCTGCCTAACTTGCAAAACCCCTTTTACCTTTGCTACTCATTTAACAGAAAAAGGTATAGTAGATGCTCAGTGTTTTGTTTTAAGTCCATCTGGGGACATTCAGCAACAAACAGGCTTTATTTCTAGGATGGTCTGCATCCTGGAAATGTAAGGGAAAAAAATAATACAATCAGTAGTGCAATCACCTTGACATTTTAAATGAATTGTTAGCAACTTAAAGGGACATTCAAAGCATCATAACCACTAGAGTTTATTGAAGTGGTTATGTTGCTGGGATGTTACAAGTTAAATCCTTGGGGGTTTTCTTGTTTTTTTTTTATCAAGCTAACCTCAGTTTATTCAATCCATTTGACAAAAATAAAAATGATGGAATCCCATGAACCCTTAACAATATAGAAACATTTGCTGATCAGACAACCTAGAACTTCCTTACTGCAGGGTTGTTTTTTTTACATAACATTACTTTTATGGAATGCTTGATCTTGGCCTTCAGAAACAGACTAGTGCATACGATCATCAGTAAAAGGTCTTCTGCAACCTTGGACATCTACCACAACCTGAATTCCAATAGCAATGTCAACGTCTTCTTCAAACTCAAGAGATTTTAAATCCAGAACCATTTGCAATAGCCCTTAAAATAACACTTCAATCGGATCCTAATGTTGATGGGATTGATTGGGTATAGCATACCGTAAATGTCAACTTTTTCAAAGAGGATAATTGTGATATCCTAAGTCTGTTAATGTCTTGCATTGTGGACTGTCTTCATTTGTCACAATAATTAGTCTCTAATTATATCCTCATTGTATTATAATGACAGTGAATAGGCATGGTAGAGACTTGTAAACCTGTATTTAAATGACACTCTTTTGTTTGATTATAAGAGACCATGGCTATATATTGGTATGTCTACAGATGTTCCCCATGGATTGCTTCTTTTTAGAATATAATATGAAGTGTAGGAGGGTTTTGACAGCATGGTGTTAAAAATACTTTCCTGTAGTATGTTCCAGAGTATTTACCTTTTGATCACTCACACCATGAAGTAATTATAGTGTAAGAAAAACAGATATGCAGTCATTCAAATTACCAGGAGCAAATGCCAACAAGTGTTTTTAGCGATAGTCAAGCCATCAAAGAGGTGAGCTAAAGTGGTGTACAAGATACAGTGCCTCACCTTTGACACATGTGGATTCGTTTTACAGTCGTCCAACTCAACTAGCTTGTTAAAAGTGTGTTTACCTGTAACATATACTGGCCCTCACCAGCCCACATTTAGTTATTCAGCTGTCATGCACTCGGTCACCTACTCATAGCCTGTTACTCACAACCTGTTTCATTTAATTATCCAGTTATAAACCCTGTCACATTCACCCAGCCACAAACCCACTCACGTACAACCGCCGACCTGGTCACATTCACCCAGCCAGAAACCCTCTCACATACAGCTACCCACCTGGTCACATTCACCCACCTAATGAATTACATCCATTTATTCACTAACAGTCAAATTCATAAACCATATTCTGCATTTATTATGCAAAAGCTTACACACATTATAACAGGCCCTCATACATGTAATATGTACATATAACTGACATATACATGCACACACACACACGTTTGTAAGAAATCTGCAGGTTTAGGCTGGTTTTAGAATGTTGGAAACAAGAAGTGTGTTCCACCAATGTTTTTAGTGTTATGGTTAATCATCATTATTAGTGACCACATTTCTCTAAGTTGTTTTGGGACAATGCTGCTGGATGACTGGATATGGTCACATATATGGGTTCTACATGGGTCATAGCTGTATAAGTGTATAAGCATAAGAGCAACTGACACCACAGACCACCTTCTTGTACACAAAGGAGACTGGACTCAAGTGAATATCAGCTGCATGGTAGGGTGCACTTTGTGGATAGAGATCTCCTTTTGGCCCTCAGATGGAAAATGTTAGGAAAAATTGACATAAGAAACATTTTTTAGCTTCAGAGAATGACCATCAGAAAGCCCACCAAGTAAGAAGTAGGTGGTTTGATATGGGCATTGAGAATGCCATATCTGCAGTCATTAAGATGTGCATTGCTTGTCCCATAACAACCAGAAAATGGTTTAGCTAGTAATGCTGTTTTACAAACTTTTTAATGGTTTCTGGCTCCCCGTTTATGAGAACCACTAACAGGCTAGGAATGAGAAAAAAAAAAATGTAAAATGTACTTGTAAGATCAGTGATAATTGAACATTGTACTGAACCTGATGAAATGAAAAACGTGGGTGAAAAATCCCCAATGTAAAATATATGGATGATATTGAATATCTTAAAGTACCCCAATGGTGTGATTTTGGTAAATGAATATATACTTATTGCATAACAGTAAATCATGTCTACAGAGTAACATTTTGATGAAATCACTGGATTTTTTTCCAAACTGCCATTTTGAAATTTTATAAACATTGAAAAATATTAAGCTAAATGTACATTGGTTTTTGAGAGGAAGGACACAGGGCTTCCTGCCTAGATCAGTGATTCCCATACCTGTTCATAAGCAGGCACACCAACAGACCAGTATGTAGATATTTCTCTAGCTCTGTTCCAGTGAAGATACTGACAACATGCCTACCATTGGTGAGCCTTCCAGGCTCGGTTAGGAACCACTGGTCTTGAATACAACTGACAAATAGTATGAATGACTGACTCTTGCATTCAAGAATTCAAATGAGAGACTAGACTGTGTGAGAGGAACATATCCAAAAGTGTTCCAAAAGCCCCAAGGACAGCTCAGTCAACTCTGCACCAATACACAGCTGGTCATTGGCAGTTGTAAACACGTAAACATCAAGGTCATCAACAAAATGTTTGAGACCTTGATGCACCTAAACCACTATACATTCATTTACCTACATACACAGACCAGGTGGTGTATTGTAAGGTATGGTACAGCAGGTTTAATTTGACTCTTTATGCTTCCTCTATAAGATAAGACTTGCCTTGGATAATGCAACACTTTTTACAGAAGGGGTCCACATTTTACAGACTGAGATTAATCACATTTTTCATTTTGTTGATGTAAAGATTTTTTTCTGCCTGCTACACTACTGTGATATTTTTTAATAACTTCTACTAGAGCAGGTAAACCCCAATAATAATACAGGAAAGGAGACATAGACACCAACCACATAAATTAACTGTATACATACATATCACTCGGAAAGTTCTCACCAGTGTCACTCTCCTCTCCCCTCTAAAGGAGCCTGTAGGGACATTGGATGTGGTGGGGGGCAGGGGAGGGGAATGAACTGTCTCTTTTACATAACAAGGGACAACTTTTAACTTTCTTATGAAGGATTTTTTTTTATTATTTTATTTTATTTTTTTAAACATAAAGGACCTCATTTCAAAAGATGTCTGTGTTCTTTTCATTGTTTTATTTTGTTTGTTTTTTCTATCATATCCCAAAGCAACTTTGTACAGGATTATGCTAATAACCCACATTCTTCCTATTAATTTTTTTTTTTATATATATATACTTTTGTGTTTTTTTTTGTTTGTTTTCTCTTCCTGCAATGTCTGCGTAATTCTAGTGTGATGTAAAATACTGTAACTTTAGGACAGGATTTAAAAGACAAAAAAATAAAACTGTACTGCTATTCGTTCTTTATATGATATGACAGTATTTGGGATATGAAGCATTCTTTCACAAGGTGTGCTTTGTATTTGCTTGTAGGGTTAGAATTCAGTCCTAGATTTTAGTTGTCCAGTGTAGGATATATATATATATCATGTCATTTGTATGTTCTTTATATTGTAAAAATTCTTTAGACTGAAAGTTGCTTATCAAAACAAAAAAAAGGAAACAAAAAAATAACTGCATCAATAAATGTAATTTGATTTTTTTCATACATATGACTGGACTCTTGTTTTGTATAATATGTTTATAAAAATCTGGTACATTCTACTACTAAAAAAATGTTTACGGTAAATTACAAGCACAGTAAAATAACCTAGCCAAATCGATAACAAGAAATAGAAGTTTCTATTACACCCATAATGTAAGATTTTCGAACCAAATCCTAAAGAAACACTCAAATGTCTGTTTGGAACACACCAGATTAATTACACGTTACTTATTAGCACATAAATAAATGGTCAATGGGGTTAAACAGGCAAGTCTGATGCCAACATGTACCAAGTGCTCAAATACATCAAACAGAATCATTGTCCACATGGAATTGTGGTGCAGGGGAGTCCTGGTCAGCCTATAAGAGAGAAACTCATTCATCTCATTTCTCAGAGGTATGTGGCTTTCTTTTTTTGGCTTTTTTTTTGGCTTTTTTTATGGAAATGTAGCTATGAATTTTTAATATCCGTGAATGAAACTATTATTAAGGGTGCGTAATGCATATTATATGTGTATTACAATTCTATTAAAAAATATGATAATTCTATTTAACCCCTTAAGGACACATGGCATGTGTGACATGTCATGATTCCCTTTTATTCCAGAAGTTTGGTCCTTAAGGGGTTAAAGCATGTGATGTGATGTGAAACATTATGCCCAGTCCTAAATACCATATTGTGTCATCCAAATATATATATATATATATATATATATATATGACTATGATGAAGAAAAGAGGGGACATACAGTACAAAATCAGCACAGCAAGTATTTTCCCAAAGGTTAAACAGCAGCAATGTTTTAGTTTGAGACAGACTTTCTATATGAGCCAAAATTAGATTGCTGTTTAAATTGTGGGAATAAACTTCCTGTTGATTATACCGTGTGCCCGCTTATTTTTTTTCTCTGTTGTTATAGCTGTTGAGTTCTTCACCTCAAGGTTTTGAGAAGTTTATTACATTATACTCCTTTCTGGCTTTATGCACAGAAGTATTGTTTATTTGTGTGCGTACATTTTATATATTCAGAGCACGGTAAAATTTGTTTGTCATCACTACTGAAATCATTTAACAAGTGCACTCTCTACACTGAATTTCTAAAAACAAATTCACTCGTGATGACATTCTACAGCGATCCTTCAAGAATAAGATATTTATAAATTCTTCGTCCCCACATAGTTAGAACTCCAAATGTCTTAGAATTCACATTTGCTCTCTTAAAAGTAAGGGGCATTTTAAGCAGCATAACCACTCTGTTAGAAAAATCTAAGCTGTTTTTTTCCCCCCATAATGTTTCTATTGTATTCTAAATTGTCTTTCAGATTCAGTTCTCCACAGTTCAGAGATTAGTAACACCAGTACTTTCACTATGATTTCAGAATTGAAAAGCTCATCCCCTAAGCAGTGGTAACTAGAGAGACAGAGGATTATGGTATACTGCACATTTTAATATATACATATGTATATTTATTTATTTCCTAGCCACATTTTCACAGGGCATTAAGGAGGCCCGTCAATCACGCAAAAGGCCAAGACATCTGATGAGGATTCTTCTGTTGGTTACAAGGCTACAGACATTAACAAAGGAACGTTGTCTGCGTCTAGGGAGGAACCATTCTTCAGAATTTCAGGATCAGACCATTTGATATCCAAAGTGAGTAGATAATTTAATATAAAGAAGTTGGCAAGAGTTGAGACATCCTCAATCCATTATTTTTCTGGCAGAAAAAAATAGTGACTTTCCCTGCCAATGATACTGTCAAGGAATTGATTATGGAAGAATGGTTTAAGACAGACTAAATATTTAAACTTATGGTCAACTCCTCTCCAGTTCATACCCATTTTATTCCTCTGAGGCTACTTCCTGGGATTCTGCAACTAAAGTTGATGCAGCAGTAAGCTGCATCAACAGGGAGCCTCCGAAGATGGACTCCCACTGTTGTACATCCGCAACTTTAAGGAAATTTTGCTCCCAGAACTCCTAGTGGGACTTAACTCCATACGAACAGAAGGCTGATTTCCTACAGTCTCCCTGGCAGCAACTGTAACAGTCTTTCTCCCCCCGCCCCCCCCAAAAAAATAAAAACCACACAAATTAACGTTATTTCACACTCACAAAACATTATTCGCATGTAGCTCTATTTTACACACACACACTCTGTGTAGTGTGTAGTCACTGCAAACACACTCTGCAGTCCCTATACAGTCACTACACAAACACACAGTACATACCTACACACACTGCAGTCACTACATCCACTACACCAACACACACTGCAGTCGCTATACACACACTTTGCATTCGCTACATAAACACACTCAGCAGTCACAATCTACATTCTCTACAGAGTGTGTGTAGTGTGTGTATAGTGACTGTGCACACTTTGCATTCACTACACAAACACACTCTGCAGTCCCTATACACAAACACATACTCTGAAGTCAAAAACAAACACTACATTCACTACACACCCTTTGTATTCACTAAAGTCACTATATATCCTGATACAAACGCTCATTATACCTACTCTGCAGTCCCTATACACACACAGTACATCCACTATACAGACTGCATCCATGAAACACATACCGTATCCCCTACACACATTCTACATCCACTAAACACATACCACATTCAGTAGACACACATACTTTATTCTTGTGGGCAGACTCAGGATAGGCCCGGTGGTTGGACTCGGGGGCAGGCCCTTGAGCTGTGTCAGGGGCCCAAAAATTTCTGATGGCATCCCTGGGCCCCTTTGACATTTTTTGGGCTGCCATAGCCTAAGTCCCTTCAGCTATTATTTGCAAGGCTGCTACTTGGGCCTCGATTAATACATTTATTAAGCATTGGACATTCAAGATGTTTAGTCTGATAATTTTTGTAAAGGTGTGTGTTATCTGCCTTGACGGTTGCGGTTTTTAGTTTTCTAATATTGTATGCGTTGTTAATTTAGTATATTGCATCATTAAGGTCTGGTTTTTATTTCTCTCTCCCTTACTTATTACTTGGGTATTCCAATCAATGTGCTGCCATGGATATGAACAGGAAAAGGGAAAATATATTCATACTTATTTCCTTTTCCTGGTCACAGGCCATGGCAGCACAACAGTTCCACCCTTTTACAGTTATATGCAAATTACATCAAACTCCAGAGAAAATCCTGTAAGAAACATGGTGCTGCAACTCCATCCCCAATGGGGAAAACATATCCACAGAAGATATAAAAAATACTGTGGTCGAGGGGCGTGGCCAACCAAGATACTGAACAGACGTGCATGGGTGCTGCTCCTGCTCTCAACATTGAGAAAAAGCCGTTTGCACCAGAATTTTAACCCCAAAAAAACGACCTTGGAGATCCTACAGCCCCACAGAATACTATGGGACGCAAAAACAAAAAAAATGCCCGTCCGGAGAGTGTAACCCACTCAGACATCAGACTTTCTTTTGAACAGCCGCAGGCCCGCAACAAGATGGCGCCGGACAGACCGCATGGCTCTAGTGACTCCAGCGACTCTATAGATGAAGAGGGTCCACGGCAGACCACCAACAGAGTGTACCTGAGAGTGGACTCTGACTCCGATGCCTCTCCCTCCACGAAGGGGGACATCAAAAAACTCCTTCAAGATCTGAGGGCGGTATGGAAGGCGGACCTGGCGGGGGTGCAGGTGGAAGTCGGCGGACTGCAACAACGACTCGCAGCGGCGGAATCCAGAGAGGAAGCCCGTGAGCAGCGCCTGACAGACACCCACTCCCAGGTGGAAACCCTCACACAACAAGTTCACAGCCTTACCCGCACAGTGGCATCACTAGAAGCCAGACACCGCAGGAGGAATATTCGGATCCGCGGAGCTCCAGAAACCGTACAACCGGAGGCCCTCCTGGACTTTGCACACAAAGTACTAAAGGCGATGGGGGTCAGAGAGAATGGTGACTCACCGCTTTTGGTGGCAGCCTTTCGAATAAGGAAGGCACCGACGGCTGCAGCTGACTCACCCAGGGACATAATTGCGGTGACAAGGGACACAGCAGTGAAGTCTGCCATAATGGCCTGTTCCAGGAAAAGCCCCAGCGTGCAGGTAGATGCCTGCTCCATATCAGTGTATGCGGACTTACCATTTTCAGTCCTGCTGGCCAGGCGCAGACTCCTGCCCATCACCAAGTTGCTGAGAGCAAACGACATCAGGTACCGATGGGGGGGGTCTTGGGAACACTAGTGGTATCCAGGTGGGAGGAAACCCATGTCCTGTCTGCCACAGAGGACCCGACAGACTTCTTGCAGAAACTCCAGCTGCCCCACCTACCTGCAATTCCCCAGACACTACAAGGGACCGGTCGCCCAGCAGCCGTGAAGGCGAAGACACACACACTTGGAGAGAGGGGGAAAAGGGATACCCCAAGCTCCTAAACCCTCCATGACACTACCCATACCGGAGGCCTGACGGCCATGAAGCTGCTCCCATAATGACTGTCCATACCTACCAAGAGCTTCAACTTAAAAAAAAAAAGTTGAGTTAAAATGTTTGAGTTTACACATTTTATGCCACTTTATGTTTAATTATTTGATTTAAGTGTGTGCTTTGGAAGCCCTGAACATAGACACATGAAACCCTAGGGACGATACTGACCACAAAGGTCGTATGACAGAGGGGCACAGGGAATAGGGGGACATGGAAACGGGGACACACGGGACACTAAACCCAGATTCTTACATGGGCCAGGCAACCTCCCGGGAGCTGTCCTCCTTACCCCACTGGATTCCCAGTTACGATACCACCCAGAGCAACAGCCGCACCCATAGGGGGTCCCCAGTGACAACCATGTAATCCGAGCCGGCAGACAAGAGGGTACATTTCAGCGGTTGCTGAGACACAGACAGGACCACACACCAGGTGCACAGCCCCCTTATAAACACTAAAGCCCTTCCATGCCTTTCCCATATTTACACTCAGAGACATGGAACCGCCTCGGTTTACACTGAGAGGAGTCCCGACTACCGACGACGTACTGACCCAACATACACCCAAAGGACGACAAACGCTAACCATGAAAAGCCAGAATGCGTCCCTGCTCCCCTACACCCTAGAATGGCCACAAAACTACACTAAACTACAAGCGACACAGTCCGAGCCCATACTATACTGACCTCTACACCCTCGACTGATTATTACCATCATATTGCCGTATTCTGACTTATTATTTCCACGGGTAGCTCTATTGTTATGCACCACGAAGACGCTAGGTTATAAAACCGTTTATGACTTTACTCTGTTTCTGAATTTTAATCACCTAACAACACAATTTGTATTAATATGTTATTTTAGTAAAATGTGCAACTTCTCAATGAATGGATGTCTAATCTTGCCTGCTACTGCTACTGTGGCACTGCAGACATTTCTGTCAAACTTCTTTGCACAACAAAAATAAAGAATTAAAAAAATAAAATAAAAATACTGTGGTCACTTACTTCATGCGGAGGTTTCAGATAGGCTGTAAAGTGGTGCTTATTAATTCTAACAGAAGAGCGCAAAGATAGTAATAGTAAAATAAAATACCTTATGATAAAAATAAATAAAAATCAAGTTAAGCGGCTATCCACAAAAATAATGTTCCTTAAAAGTCTTTATCTAAATACAATTCATAAAAAAGTGTCAGCGCTATATATGATAGCCTTACAGTGGGCAATCAATCAAGTTAGTGATTTTTCACATCCTATCCCTGTGATTTAGTGGTATATATATTATCACCTCTATGCATCACATCAAGTTAGATTATGCACATAAAATATATTTAAAAACTTGCTTAAGAGTCCAAAAGTTCTGAATGGGAATCTTTAGAGGGTTAATCCTGTGCTGCAGCAAAATTGTAATATCTGTAGATACACTGTGATTCAATTTAGCTTGTACCTTAAAAGGATACAAAAAAGCTTTTCATAGTGTATCTCCAAATAGAAACCCTTGCATTAGCAAGTGGTGATACTTGTTTCCAAGATATCACAAACACATTAAGCAGAATCAGAGGCTGAACAGCCGTTTACCATCAACTGTTTTCTGTAGTACAAAACTCCCGCCTGACCTCAGCGCTGATGGGGTAGAGTATAACAAGTACACTGGAGATCTTGGTGTGTGGTCTATGTGAAACAGGCTGTATTAGTCAGACCTCTGTATCCTGAATGCCGATAACACTTCAACGCGTTTCGCCCGTTCTACGGGGCTTTTTCAAGATGAAAAGTGTAAAGTGGTGCTTGACTAATCCCACTTTACTACCTTGCTCCTCTAAAAAGGTCTGCATTCACTGCCATCCATAACATAAAAACAAGATAGCTCATGCGTAGTGCATCTTTATTAGTAAAAAAAAAAAAAAAAATTTAAATCGTGGCATGAAAATAGCAAGCAGACCTCAACCAGGGCATCAAAAATAACAATGAGTGTCCAGGCGTGCACCCCCACTCTCCCTCCAAAAAAATATAGAACATAAGCCCTGTACTATGTCAGAATTTTCTTTACTAATAAAGATGCACTACTCATGAACAATCTTGCTTGTATATTATGGATGGCATTGAGTGGAGCAAGGTGGTGAAACTTTTACAGTTATACTTTGGATATTGCTGAGTTGACTGATGGTGGGGTATTTATACATTTATTTTAGATTGGTTCCCGTCTCATTAGGTATAGGGAGGAGCTACCCATTGTTGTACTGCCCTAGACTATGAATATTTTCATAAATATACACATATACACCATTTTTTGTTCTAACAGAACACTCAAAGCAAAGACCCATGACCACTACCTGTTGTAAAGGTTATGGTGCCAGGAGTGAACTGGAGCCCTGCCATGGTAATTTTTCAAACCATTTTAGATTGGATTTAAAATTTACCCGAATCCTGCCAAGACCCTGGCTTCAGCCCCGTGCAGAATAATCTGTTAAACACGACTGAGCTAAACATGGCAATGTTCAAAGGTTGATAGTAAGAGAACGGAGGAGGTTTGGGCAGGGAGAGGGAGAGAGACAGGCACCCTTGGAGAATGTCAAAACATTCTCAGCCTATCATTTGCACCCCATTCACAAAATTAAGTGAAAAAGTATGCATATTTTTTTTTACTCACTCTTCTGAACTGGGAGCTAGTGATAGACTTGGAGAATCAATTGATGCTCTTAGCTTATCATCGGCATCTGGTCCGAGGCTTCATAACTGAATCATCTTTACTTCATTTACTTACTTCAGTAAGTAGAGGGGAAGAGCAGTCATCCAAGTTTTTGTGTTAAAGCGTTCATTAATGGTTTAAGTCATTAAGGTAAGGCAGCGCGGCCAAGCTCTTCTCACAAGATTTCTTAATTGTGATGAAATAGTTATGGTGTCTGAACATCCCTTTAACTATACTATAAGGTTAGGATTTAGATTTTACTTCCCCTAGCAAAACACCCCCTGCAATAAGTGATTCCTTGTGATTAGCGGACAATAAAAAACGTTAATCTCAAGATAGCATGAGGTCACCCAGAACGAGCAGAAATATGTATGCACCTTGCTTCTTTGACTGCCCATTATTATAGTGGTATTACACCTTTAAAGGTTTATTTTATAGGCATATTTCACCAAGTAAAGGTATCAAGGGTTTCTGTGACAAAATAGCAAATATGAAACATTTTTCCAGTCCTGTCCCATCAGCAATCTACCTACCTATATTTCATTACTTAGGAGTGAATGGCTGTTTTGTCAACAGATTGTGCAAGCACAAATACAAGGGCAGTTCATAGACTTGGGAATAAGAGGCTCACTATCCAATGATTCAGTATTATGGTCCGTATTAAGGCTTGGGGGTCCACTTGACCCAGCCTATAAGAGAGGCAGGAGACAAAATATTTGTGTAGTTATATGATAGAAAGGAAGGTTTCAGATGAAAGACATTTTAGTTTAGTTTTAAATTGTATTTGTTACACAAAAGTAGGAATAATTTGGAAAACAGTTCTCTACAAAAAAAACAAAAAACAACAACGTATCACTTACAATAATCAAGCACTCTTTTCGAAGTCTTATGGTTTTTACAAGTATTAGTAAAATGACCCATGTATGCAGCCATTTTCGTTACTGACAATATAACAGCCAATTTGAATTTGGACTGTTTGGAAAGTGTCTAATCAAGGTAATAGCTATCAACCCAGCTTAAATTGATAGAATTTAGCCATCACAATATTAGAAAAACAAAATGGTGTTTTTGCATTCCATATAAAATCCATGTAGAAACCATATATTGTACTAAATAAAATACCAATGAAATTACCTCAGAACACTACAGACATGTACCCCCACCTGTTGGATTTGCTGAATCAGAATGTTTGAAGGAAATCTTGGACATCAAATTAAACCCTACAAACAAGGTATTTAAAACATATATTAATGGGATTTATTTTAATAGTGTTTATTTTAAAGGAAACCATGTGTACATATTAGAATTTGAATTAATACAATTACCAAATATGTTCCAGCATGACATGGAACATGACATAGGTTTCCAAAGGTTCACTTTATTGAGCTCTGAGGTAACCAAACACCCAGGGAGCACAGAGTGAAACTGCCAGTCCTTGAAAATGTTATATACAGCACACAGTATGAAGTTCCTAGTAATGTGGATTCCAAAAGTCTAAGCAGCTTAGTTCTCTAAGAGATGGTCCAGTAGATTCTAACAGTAAGATGGAATTTTGTCTACACCTTCTCTAATTCTCTATCTCAGTGTCACTGCTGGTTGCAGCCTTCTGTAATCCATTAGAATGGCCATTGGTGGTGCTCTCCGAATGGAAGCCATTGAGTTGACTGGTCCCCTTCTTAATGGAGATGGGACATGGTACAGAAACTGGGTTAGGTCGTTTCAGATGCATAAAGCTTTTCTGCATCTTGTGTTCCAACATCATGTGGTTTTGAGGAGAAAGACCCAAGCATGCTCTAATAAAGGGAAAACAGGATAATTACTTAAATTGTACATCCACCAATGAGGCAATGTTAAAGAAACAGTACGTCAATATGATTACTAGTAAACACATTCTATTTTTTATATATATATTTGTTTATAGTGACACACATGGGTTGTTCACTTGGAAAACATCCAGCTTTTCTCTTAATATGTCAAAGTATACAAAAGACCAAGGTGTCTAATGCATTACTTGCACATGCACGTTACAGAAAAGAAGTCCAAGTATTTGACTGTGTATGCAAAAAAAATATTATGTCTTATAGTGTTAAATCATAATACAATATTAGTTCACGTGTCCTTGAAGATGTATGTGACTGATTTGACACCCAGGCTGGTTGTTGTTTTTCTGTTTGTTTGCTTTTTAGTATTTGTAGTTTTACTTTTAAGTTTGGCCTATATTTTTTATACATTCCTTTGCAATAAATACACAGGGGGTGGGGGGGAATGAACATGGGCAACCATTTGTTACAACGAACAGGATTGCCACTTAAGGAGCTCCATTCAAAGGGTACCAATAAAAATGTAAAGAAAAAAAAATGGGGGACAAATGCCTTGGGGCATGAAACACATCTGACATTTGACCCCTACTTCTGATTTTCATTGATTTTTTTTTTAGCTTATCAATAAAAGCTATATTTTAGCACCCTTGATTCCTCAGCTGAGAAGTCCGGCCTACATGTCCAACAAACAGGAATCAAATTACAGTTACTTCAACACAGCAGAAGTCACACGAATGCAGTTTAGCTTCTTTTTTTGTCAAACAACCCTATTTTTGGGATACCTATTTTCCCCAAAAGCTTTCACTACTCTAAAGAGCCAGCTATGATGTTGGGTGGTATCAAACTAACTGTCAAAACACTGGCTTTGGTAAGCATGAGTGTACATTTTACAACAATAAGGTTATTTAGTATTACACTATTATTACTTTTCTGTTCTATTTAATGAAATGAGGAATCAATGATCAACACTAATTTGCTATTTTGTCTGAGGAATCACAGTTCTATTTTCACTTGGGAAGTTTATGCCCCCTAAAGTGACAGAAAGGCATTTTATTACACTTCTTTGGGGAAAAAAATTAAATTACAAGTCTTTAACATAGCAATTTGAATCAGAATTGTAGGTAAGAATCTGTTTATTTTGTCTCATATTTAATTGTTCCATTTACACTGCACCTACAACTAAATTAGTTGGAAAATTAGGTTGGTAATATTTAATATTGACAATGCTTTGCACGAAAATCTGACATAACGTGAGGTACCTGAAGATGTTCTCAATGCAGTTCCTTTGTCTGAAAAGTGCATTGACTACTGGAGTTCCGTCTGGAACAAGAGGTGCTTTGCAGAGGAAGCTGAGAATGGACAAGACACTGTGGAAAGTCTGGAATTCCTGGTCTGCCTCTGTGCAGAAGGTAATCCTCTGGCAAATTTCAGTAAGAATCACAAGGTCCAAAATAATGGGGCTGGCAAGCAGGGAGTCCTGAGAAAATATTAAGAATAGAAAATTTTTGTGCTATAAATCAGGCTCATACTCCAACGTTATAGATTTAAGTGTGTACATAGATGAGATATGAAGCAAAAACAGCATGAAAGACTTTCTACAGGGACACTTTCATTGACATGTATTTGTAACCAGATTAGTCGGACCCACAGGAACAGAGGGATTGAGGGCCCTGCTCAATGAGCTTACATGCTAGAGGGAGTGGGGTAAAGTGACACAAAAGGTAACGGCAGGGTAGAAAAGTGGGTTGCTAGGATAGTACTCACTGAAGGCTTAGGGTTTTGTTTTGATGACAGTTGCAGGAGAGGAATCAGGGTGCGGGGAGGAAAAGCTGTTGACAGTTTAATTAAAATGCTTTTATGAAGAAGTTTTCAAAGATTTTTTGAAGGAGTAGAGACTGGGTGAAAGTATAACAGAGAGGGGAAGGATGTTCCATAGGAATGGTGCAGCCCTAGAGAAGTCTTTAACCCCTTAAGGACCAAACTTCTGGAATAAAAGGGAATCATGAGATGTCACACATGTCATGTGTCCTTAAGGGGTTAAGGCGAGCATCAGAGATTAGATGTAGGTCTTCGGCAGAGTGAAGGGGCCTAGAAGGGACATATTTGTGTATTAGGATAGGTAGGTTGGAGCACCATTGTGTAGAGATTTGTAAACAAGTACCAGGATCTTAAAATGAGCCCTATATCTTACAGGAAGCCAGTGTAGGAACTGACAGAGGGGAGTGGGAGGTGCGGGCGGAAAGCCTTGCCGCATACATTATAGACTGTAACGGGGCAAGTTGTAAACACGTAAGACCACTGAGAAGTGGGTTACAGTAGTCAAGGCAAGAGAGGACAGTGGCATGAACAAGCACCTAAGCCATATCAGGCATTAAATAGGGGTGGATGCGCGCTATGATTTGGCGATTTGATTGGACATGGAGGGGTAAGGGAGAGGTCGGAGTCAAAGAGAATACCTAGGCAGCGAGCCTGCGAGGTATAGCTGATGGTAGCGCCATTGACTTGGAGGGAAACAGACAAGGGAGTAGCAACACTTGAGGGAGGGAAGACCAGAAGTTCTGTTTTGGACAGGTTGAGTTTAAGTAAGTGCGCAGCCATCCAGTTGGAAACAGCAGAGAGGCAGTTAGAGACACAAGTTAAGAGGTGTGGTGAGAAATCAGGGGAAGACCTTTAACACATTTACCTCTGAAGGGAAACCACTACCACTTTTCTGGGCCAACAAAAATTATGAATGTATGTGCACAAGTATATTTAGGTTTACAGATGAACCACACATACCCTTATGGGTTAGGTAGTGTCCTTAAGGCAGTGTTACTAGTGTGCAAAATTCAACTCTCAAATACTCCAGAAAAAAAAAAAAAACATTTGGTGGACCACATGTAAAAGATGTACATTTTGCATTGTAATCGAAGCTCCAGGATATGCTACTATGTTTACCAAATCAAAGTAGATTTGATGCTATAGGTCAATTTATATAAAAAGTGGATAATAGATGATTATTTTACCTCACATGTGTTGTGAATGACAATTGTGTTTGTTCCTCCCATCATTATTTCTGATGTATATTCATCCAATGCTCGTTTGCTGTCTCCCACATAAGGAACATATTTTATCACCACCTTATAGAACAAGAAAAAATAAATCACCAGTGAACATTAGCTACCACACTGAGGCACAATGTGTACATCCTGAAAATATAAGTAATAAACTTAAAGACAAACTTACATTTTTTAAAAAAAATGTGTTATGGTGGAGTATTTGTCTATTTAAGAAATGCTTTATTGTGTAATGTTTATTTGTTCGGTTGTCCCTGTAGTTTTGTATGCAAAAGAATAACCACTAATAAAGCTAAGGTATGGATTATCCCCACCCCGAAAGGCCTTACTCTTTCTGGTGAATGACTGTTCTAACATGGAACTTTCAGGTACTAGAACATTACATATGTGTATGCTTTACATCGTGGAACACAAAGCAAACAGTAATTTGCTGGTAGAGATCTGCCAGTAGGTGGATGTCTGCTATTTGACTACATCTGCTCTTTGCAATGGATCTTTGTACATTTCATGCACTGTTTGTCAGTAGATAAGAACAACTGGTGAACTTTATATCTCTTGTGTAAAAATAGATTCTAGCTAACCCTTGACCGCCTTCTATTGAGAAAATCCTCAAACTCATCAACCTTCCCAGAGGATAACAAAGGGTCACCTGTCTCCCCATTTACAGACATTACAGCAAAGATATCGGAGATTGAGTGCTGTTATAAAGGTCATTTAAAGCAGAACTGTCACTTTTTAAAAAAAATACTTTTTGAAAACTACACAGGAGAAAACTGAACACAAATCTTAATTATTTTAAAGTACACGGCAAAAGTGCTTCTTTCAATACCACCACTACTCTCCAAATGTATTTTATCTAAACATTTTTAATAAAAATACTTTAGAGGTTTCCTTTAATTAATATATCTGAACACACAATCAGTTTGTCAGCTTGACTGTATATTTTTCCCAACTTTCTATAGTTACTTGTGTCTTCAGGCAGACAGCAGGAGACAAACAGGTTGGATGCCAAAGGTTAGACCACCACACAACAGTATAATGATGATGTAAAATTTCCTTCAGTTCTAAACACATGAAAATTTTTAAAGACGCTAACTCACACAGTGGTCTGGTTTTTCATTGGGTCCATACAGAATGGCATTTGACTCAACCATATCATCCACAACATTGCTCTTGGAGATTTCCTTGGAGCGAAACTGCTGGGGTGCAGAGAGGTTCTTACCATCGTTGTTACCCAAATGGTTATAACTCACAATTGAGACAGTCTGCAACAAAAATAAAGTTACATGGTGAGCCGTTAGGCTAAAGTAATATTTAAAAGAGTTTTATTGTGGATAATTCCACAATACAATGTTCTTACATTCAACAGGGCTTTAAAAATTAAATCAGTGGTATGCTGTAAAATATATTGCAGTCTGATTTTATTATAGGTTAAAGGAATACTATGGTATTAGGAATAAAATCATGTATTTCTAACACTATAGTGCTGGACTACCTATTTAGGTGTCTGTATCCCTTCAGCAAGGAGTTAAAAGGTAGCTTTACTTACCTTTACTCCATCGCTGAGCTGGTCTCACTCAGCCACTATGACTAAAATCATCAAGAAAAGCATTGGGAGGCTATTGCGTATGTGTTGAAAAACACCACACTGTGCCAAACAGCATCTTCTCCTAGTGATGCATTGAATCAATGCATCTCTATGGGGAACATTAAGGGTTTTACTTCTAGTGGCTGTCTGAGTGAATGCCATTAGAGGGGTTACCAGGCAGTAATACAAACACTGCATTTACTCTGAAACGATAGCATTTTGGTTGATCAGCCTGCAAGGGCATTCTATAGATACCAGAACTACTATATTAAAGGATCACTATAGGGTCAGGAACACAAACATGTATTCCTGACCCTGTAGTGTTAAAACCACCATCTAGCCCCCCTAGGCCCCTCATGCCTCCATATATATATAAATCAAAATCTTACTGTATTCAAGCCTGAAGCTGTAACCCTGCATGCTGTTTGCCTCAGAAAAACAAGCAGTCTGCTGACATCATCAAAAGTGGTAGCCTGATCCAATCACAATGCTTCTCCATATGATTGGCTGAGACTGACAAGGAGGTAGATCAGGGGCAGAGCCAGCATGATTCAAACACAGCCCTGGCCAATCAGCATCTCTTCATTCCTTTAAATTATAAGTTCACGGGCCATCTAGCCAAGCACTTTATATAAAAGAGCCCCAATGGCTAGATATCAGCTTACGGGCAAGGCTCTCTCTACCACTTGTATTTGTCTGTGTATATTGTACGTTCTCCACTAATTGTACAGCGATGCGGAATCTGTTGGCGCTTTATAAATAGCAGTAATAAATAAAAATAGAGATGAGTTGAATCAATGAATCTCTATGAGGAAAGTTCAGTGTCTGCATGCAGAGGGAGGAGATACTGAATGTTTGGATGCATTTTAAGCAGCCATGACCCAGGAAGGATCTCTAACAGCCATCTGAGGAGTGGCCAGTGAAGTTATCACTAGGCTGTAATGTAAACACTGCGTTTTCTCTGAAAAGACAGTGTTTACAGCAGAAAGCCTGAAGGTAATGATTCTACTCACCAGAACAAATTCAATAAGCTGTAGTTGTTCTGGTGACTATAGTGTCCCTTTAATTCACTAATTACTATTAGTACTAAATAATATAAAAAGTTCCATGGATAAGGGTATGGGTATGATAAGCTCGGCATTCGCCTTGACAATGGGAGTGCCAAGATTACTGCTATATCGAAAGATTGATCACTACAGAAGTTGTAAACGCAGGCTCATCAAAATAATGTATAAACAAAATATTAAAAAAATACATTATGTAATTATAAGTGTGTGTCAAAGGCCAGAAAAATAAATCTAATCTCATCAAAATCCCTTTAAGTATCATGACTACTTTCATATTAACTATTTATTTATTTTAAGGGATTTAAAAAAATAATAATAATTGTATCATGGGAAATTGTTTCACAATAGTTACCTTTAGTCCTGCACTGATAAGGAAATCCACCAGTACAGATTTAATCTTGGTCTGACCAGATTTAAAGTCATCTCCACCAATGAACACCTTGTGTCTTATGGCCAGCTCAATTGCCCCAGGAACAAAAGTGTTCTGTGGCGATCCATTGATGTAAGCACACCCCTCCAGAATGCTAGCAACTGCAAACATCGTGGACGGAGAGACCTCAAGACCACGCTAAACAAGAGGGAAGAAGAAAGAAAATACCATTATAAATATATATCAGATGCAAGGGTCAAAATGTAGTTTAATCAAGTTTCACAACAATTTCATATTTCAGTGTTATACAATGTTTCATAGCGGAAAAGAGACATTAAAAAAAACAAACCTTATTTACTTATATATGAGAGTATGACACAACATAAAACACTCCCTGAGCAGCATAACAGCTCAAAATATGTAGTTATCTTTAAACGAACACTATAGAATTAGGAATACATATTTGTATTCCTAATGCTATAGAGCTCTAGTTACCGTTTATGTGACTAAGGCCCCGTTCCACGGTGAATAAATGGTTAATTAACCATTTATTTGCTTACCTTAATCCAGCGCTGGTGACCTCTCCTCCTCCATCAACGTCTGATTCCGCGTGGAGCTGAATGTGCATGCACGGACAGAGACACGCGCGCATTCAAACCCGCCCATTGGAAAGCATTACTTTTTTGACGCTGGACTCCGTGTAAATCGTGGAAGTGGCCTCTGGTGGCTGTCAGGGAGACAGCCACTAGAGGCTGGATTAACCCTGCAGCGTAAACATAGCAGATTTCTCTGAAACTGCTATGTTTTTAGCTGCAGGGTTAAAACTAGGGGGACCTGGCACCCAGTCTACTTCATTGAGCTGAAGTGGTCTGGGTGCCTATAGTGACCCTTTAAGAAGACGTTAATCATTTGCATATTAATGCACCTAAACTTCCCTCTTTATGTGGCTTTGCCTTAGAATATCTTCAATTCTTGATGTGCACAGAACACAGAGTAAGAGCTGCAGAAATCATCATTAATTTAGTTATGGGTGGATTTCACCTGCGAGAATGTTGTGACTTTACTTTCCTAAATGTCTATCTTCACATAAATAACATTTAATGCTAGAATTATGTGCACAAAGTACAGTAATCACAAACATTCTCTCTCTCTGCAATAAATATGATCACTAATTCCAAGTCTCTTTACATCAAGTAACAATGATAGGACAGTTATGAAATCTGACAGTCAAGGTACAGCTCACCTCAATAGCTTTAAGTAAGTTATCTGCCGTGTCATTAACTCCAGTAATCACATCACAGAAGCGTTCTGTGTTCGCAGTCCACAGCACGATAACTTTGTCTACACCACTGGTTCTCTTGAAATCCTGAATATCTTCACGAATCTTTTGAATCTACAGTGACATAAAAGAGACACGATTTAAACAAAACTGAATTGTTTTTTAGAACACAGTCTTTTTCACATTTAGCATTTGACAGTTGTGCTAGATCCATAGTAAAGGGCACAATCAGATTACTCAATGCTGTACAACATAAGAGAGGTACTTTAAGGAATGTCTGTCAAACATCAACGTAACATACATGCAGCGATATACTGGTACAGAGAGAGGTATAGTGCCCAGCTCATACAAGCATAAAATGAGATCTACAATTGTTGAATAGAACAGTATATGACAGCTGACCTGTTCTGCTTTGGTCCCATGAATAACATGGTCGGCTCTGCCCTCCTGATTGGCCGCAATAAAATCTGGGGTGTAGATTGAAGGTCTTGGCTTCATCTTCTCCATAAAAGGTCTCAGTTGCTCCTGGAGCTGCCAGTCCAGAACCTCTGCCCGTCTCATTGCATCTGCCAGGTTTAGGGATGAAATATCCCAACCTATGAGAATAAAATGGGTACATAAACTCAAAAAGTTTTGTTTTAGATATACATAAACTCAATACCAAAAATACAAACCCTGAAGGTGGACTTGTCATCCACAATTTATTATGGACATATTTATATAGAGAATAACAACATTGTGCTTTCAAAGATGGACAATATCATCCCCTTTAAAAACATGAATACAGAAAGTTCTGATCACGTGTTAAAGATAAGATGCCATAATACAAGTACATCAGTATACCAAGAGTTGCGCCCATGTGTGACGTCATACATAATGACGTTGGGGCGCACCCTGGAAGTAGACAGAAATGCGGAGAGCAGTGCCAGGATGAGGGCGCCAACTTCAATTTCCATACAAAAAACTTTTATAGGAGAAGGCATACTTTACCCATTATGCAACAGGAAGAAGACTTTCAGAGTCGAAACATGTTGTGCCAATGCTGGACTGTTATATACAGGTTTGTGTGATTCATGCTTATTTATTAGTCTCGAATCTTCTTATTTTTTTTACTCTTTATTTTCATTGTGCAAATAGAAAACATGCCCGCTTGTGATGCCACAACAACATCAACAAGCGAATTGAAATCTTACATATGAAAACAGTAATATATGGCATATGAGTCAGGTGCACTTTATTTTTGAAAAGAGCAAAAAGCATGATAGACAGGCTGAACATTAGATCTAAATTTAAGATTTACAGATTATGTCTAGGATAGTTGAGTAAGGTTTATAATAGTTACGTTAGGCTTTGAGGCGAAGATTACACTAACGAAGTCTGATTATTCACACTGCTATATGCTGGCATCTATGACAGTAGTTACTGGCAAGAAAACAAAGGTGAAAAGACAACGTGTCAAAATCATAATAAAACAATATCTCTGGATCTTAGTGGTAGCCGGTCCCTTGTATATCATGGCTACTTCTAGAGCCAGAAACAGTGGGTGACTAGCAGTCAGCCGATTCCCTCGGTTGGATTGCACCCTTGCATGCGGAGGGGGCTCGGATCATGGGCAGAGTCTACCAGGCCATATGAAAATTGTATGTGATAAGGTGATGAGACTGCAGGTCCTAAGTCGGCATATATAAACCTGTAATCATGTAGGCAAGATTGCAGCCTTGAGCTGGCGGGGGTGCTATATAGATATGCAGGATTGGCTGAGACTGACAAGGAGGCAGAGGCAGAGGCAGAGCCAGCACAATTCAAACACAGTCCTGGCCAATCAGCATCTGCTCATAGAGATGAGTTGAATCAATGAATCTCTATGAGGAAAGTTCAGTGTCTGCATGCAGAGGGAGGAGCTACTGAATGTTTGGATGCATTTTAGGCAGCTATAACCCAGGAAGGATCTCTAACAGCTATCTGAGGAGTGGCCAGTGAAGTTATCACTAGGCTGTAATGTAAACACTGCATTCTCTCTGAAAAGACAGTGTTTACAGAAAAACACCTGAAGGTAATGATTCTACGCACCAGAACTAATTCAATAAGCTGTAGTTGTTCTGGTGACTACAGTGTCCCTTTAAGGCAGGCTCGGAATGCTGTGCCTTATGCTTTTAGCTTAGGGAGAAGCTGCGCTCCATAGATGGTATGTTGCCCACGTGCTTAGCACACTTGTTCATACCTTAAGCCTGCTGTTGGGCCTATCTCGTTGGGGTGGGTGGGAGGCGATGTACAAACCAAGTGGTCTGTACTGGATTGGTCAGGGCGTTGTGTGGGTAGGAAATCGAGTGAGTTCAACAGAACAACTAAAAACATTAGTTAGTAAACAGTAAGTATCGCCAAAGGGGCCATTTGAGTCTCTCTTCAAGTAGTGACAGACAGGTGTTGCTCCTTGCGGGATGAATGTGGTGATTCTTGCTGGATCCCAGGTGTGGGTCGTGGGGGTAGTATTGTGTGTCCCCGGTTGTTTCAGCGAGTCCTTGGGTAAGCCTAGATCCCGCAGTAGAGCTGCCGAGCTCGGGAGATATTGGATAAAATGCGTATCGTTCCCTTGCTTGAACCATAAGCATGCGGGGTTGGCGCCATCGGTAGTGAGCACCTTGTTGTTGGAGCAGGGAGGTGAGCGGTTGAAGCAACCTTTGCCAGGCTAGAGTGCCACTCGACAAGTCGGCATAGAATGATAACACCATGTTCTCGAAGTGGAAAGACAATTTGCCCCTTAAAGGCTGTGAGGACCGCTGCTTTGTCGTTCCACTGTGGAAGGTAACTATTAGGTCTCTTGGGGCTGTAGATGGTGCTTTGCTAGATTTGGGGATTTGAAAGAGTCCATCAAGGGTGGTAGCTTTCACCTACCTAGATGGTAGCAAGGCCAACAGCATATCTCAAGAAGTTTGTCAATTCCGCCTCTGGAATGTCTTATGATACCTCTCTGACCCTAAGGTTGTTTCTTCTCCGTGTGTTTTCTATAGCCGCAAAGCAGCATTCATGCAACAAGTTCTGCTACTGCAGGTCACTTACAGCTTGTTAAAGTGTGGCAATATGCCGGGTGATTGTTTGGGAAGCTCCCTCCAGAGCCCTGATGTGGCCTGTCCATGCAGGTCACTTCGCATCGCCGTTACAGCTGCCAAGATGTTTTTTTGCAGGTCAGCTACCAGTGCTTTTAGGACCGATGTGGTCACTGGTGAGGAGTCTGCACCTGGTTTGTTTTGCCGTCTGCACCATGCCGGAGCAGGCATGGGTAAGTAGTCTTCCTCAGCGTCGCCAGAGAACTCGTCCGAGAAATCTGAGCAGCCGCCTGAGAGAGCAGTCATCTTGGGCCCACTGGCGCCATTTGCTTGCTTCCACATGTCTTGGATAGTAAGCCCCCTGTGTGGGCTTATCTGGTGTTGGTCGTTTGGATCTGCGCCCCATGTAGTTTGGGTCGACCAGGTGGGCTCTCTTAGCCAAGTTTGGAAGGTAAGGGCTCTAAATATATTTGTTGGGTTTTTTTTGCAAGCTTGTGCGGCCGCTCGTTTCAGTGGTCAGGCTCTGCCTCAAATCTTCTTATTAAAGTCAATTTTCCACCAACATCTCTGAAGTTTCCTTTATTTATGCATGCAGGGGAGCAGAACAATTGAAAAGATCGTGGAGAACAACACAACCACCCTGATATCACCAACAATAAAAGTGAGAGACTTCTATATAAAGCTCTGTAAGATGTGAGTGGGCCAATTATTCTCTCTAACTTACAACTGTTGAGACCTTATTACGGTATGAGAGCTTTTGTACCTTATACTTTTTCTACAGATCTACTTTATTCCAATTGCATATACTTGTCTCTAAATTGGGGAGGATAAGTATATTTTAATCATCTGTGTTTTGGGTGGTAGGGGTTGTGCTTCCATTTTGTTTGTTGCACTTATCTCTAATGTTGCTTCCTAGTGCAACTATTTGCTTAGCGGAATATGTTTAAAATCTGTACAGAAAATTTTATCTGCGCACGTACAACCAATTCATCTATCACACTATATACTTTGTATAAAGTGCCAACAGTTCGCACTTTAACTACACGAAACATGATAAAGCGACTATAACAAAAATGTAGGAATGTACAGAATATTGAAAAACATTGTTTACGGTAGGACCTGATAATGTTTGATTAAGAAAACCTGTTTAAGAACTAAATAAGCGTAGTTGAATAAGAGATATTAGTACTGTAATGGGAAAATAAGAAAGGGAAAATAATTATGTCAAACATAGGCATCAGTCTAATAATATCATGATAAAGAGTCAGACGCATTACAATTCTATTGTATAATATAACATACTGATTTTAAAAATCTTTGTAATTGCATTTAGCTATTTTAAACATATATTTCAAGATTTTTTTCCCTCTAAATTCCCTCCACCCCATTATTTTCTCTCACCATACCTTTTCTTATCGGGAACTCTTGTTCCAGGCTGCTAATGACACACCACGCTGTCGGAGGAGAAGTTATACCTCAGACATAAATGGGTTCATAGCAAAAAGCAGCATATACAAATGCCAGGCACAATGAACAATCCTGCCCCCTTTATTTACATTTATGAAACCTGCTTTAGTTTTCTTTTTTCTACATAAGAAAGTAGTCCTCAGCCCACTTTCACAATCCAAATGAGTGAAGAACTTAAAACGGTTGAAACATGAGACAACCCCAGCATTTGAAGCCATTGTATTTTTGTTTTGTTAATATTTGTCGGAAGATAAATTAAAGAAACTATTATTTTATAGAGGGTTTCCAAAACTTTGCAAAATGCATTTCTGTATCTTTTTTTTCATATATATATATATATATTTTATTACGACAATTAATATTCAAAAGAAATATTACATTTAGCTTTCTAGAATTTTCAGTTACTTCCAGAGGTATAGATGTAGTTAACAAATGGTACTAATTTTATCAATACTTAGAAGGATATAAAGCTATATTGACCCGTCTGGACATAAAAAGAGGTAATGTAGATAATATGAGCAGAAATATTGCATTATTTTTCATTTGCCTCTCTGAGTTTCCTTTCCAGCATTGAAAAGACTAATAGGAGCAAATTGCAAACCAGTTCAAATGCCCCTGTTCTTGTTTCCAAACTGTACTTTAAAAATGTGCTTTTCATTTATTACAGATGTAGAAAACTCCTTGAGCGTTTATCTCCTCCGGTATGGCTAGCGCTAGAAAATGCATGTATGCCCACTGGCACGATCCCACTTACCCTTTGGGCAGGAACAAAGCTCCCCAGGTCAAAGACTTTGCTACCGGTCACAGAAACGCTGCTCCACACATGGAAGCAGGCTACCCCACTATTCTTACAAGAGAACAACCTACTCCTTGCAGCGCCACTACAAGACCTGGCTGCCCGAACGACAAACCTGCAGGTGGACCCTTGGCTGAGACAAGGGGTCCACCATGTACGCTCCTTATTGACTTTCTCAGGTATCAAACCATTCCCGGACATAACTAGGGAATACCACCTACCGCCTCGGGAAATATTCTCTTACCTACAAATCAGAAACATAACGCAGGAATGTAGGCATAGTTTAAGGCAGCCCAATCTCTTGCCACCATTCATCCAAAAATGTATGGGGAAATTGCCAAATGTGAAAGCGATGTCCCTATGCTATAACGCACTTGTACTCCAAAATATAACAGTAAAACCCCCGTACATGACTAAATGGGAAATGGATATTGGGAAACAATTCTCAATAGCAACATGGTACCATGCTCAAAAGAAAACAAAACAGGTCCCATAGCCTCACCCAGTGGGAAACATTCTGCAAATTAACCATGCATTGGTACTTAGTCCCTACCAAGCTAATATGCGACGCGGTGGCACAGATGGGTGGAATACAGGTATGGAGGGACATAAAATGACAAACATAAAATAATACTAATAACAGGGCCAAAGGCTATCTAGTGCAATACAGGAGATGTAGATGTTAGAGGATATCAAACGCTGCCCCCCCCCTCCCTCATTCAGTTAGGACATGATGTATCAGGGCTATCGCCAGGAAATGTAAACAGGAAAACAATTGTACAGATGTATCACCCGCTACGAATTATAAATGTTAAACAGCCAATTGCTACTAATAACTAACTCTTGTACAAAATGTTTAATGATGCCTGTGTACAGAATGTTGTGATATGTACCAATGTCCTCCCCTCCCTTCTTTTCTTCTGTACCCCCCTGTTCTATGTTGATATATTCATTGAAAAATGAAATAAAATACATTGTAAAAAAACAGATGTAGAAAACTACATTCTTAGATAGGATGTTCAATTTTATCAAACAAAATCCTCTCGGCCCCCATGCTACTTATTTGTGTTCAATGTATCAGTCAGCAACCACATTATAGGCTTACCATCGAATACTATGTCATTAGGATGAACCATTGGAAGAAGGTCTCGGAAAGGAATATATACATCCCCAGCAGGACCAGTGCCCAGACACACTGTGGAGGACTGGAATACTGAGCCATAGTAATTGGCAGTCTGAAAGGAGTGCAGTAAATAATTTAAATTCACAGCAAGTCATGATATTGCATTACAAATCAAAGCATAACATGGCACTGATTTCAAAGTGTTGAAAGGAAATGCATACAATCTATAACCATAGTCATTCAACAGGCAGCATATCAATAAGCAATTGGATATTTTAAAACATTGTGACACTTATCTACTGACCTATAACCAACACTGGATCTCTTTTTATCTCTGCCTTTCTCTCCTTATACCTGCTCATCCTTCTCTTCTTCTCTTTCCAGTCTCTATGACTTCTCTGCCAGTGTTAATTTTGGTGGCAAATTTCAATTTAATTTTAGTCATAGTCTTTTGACTAAAAAGCCATTTTAGTTTTAGTCGTATTTTAGCCATCTGAATTGTTTTAGTCGACTAAAATTAACACTGCTCCTGAGCTGCACTTCTACTCAGGAATTCTCTACCTTCCCAGTCAGAACCTGACCATGATCACCATGATCCCATGGTTGTACAGATTCTTTGAATTCCAAGTTGTTTTTTCAATCATCCACCTAAGCAGGACATTTTGCCGCGTAATGTACTTTACAATCATATTCCCTGTAGCAGGGAACTCCTTTAATGTCTATTATCTATACCCAGTGTCTGTTCTATGGATGTGCATTGCACCGCAAATCTGCAGCCCTGTAGAAAAATATCTTCTCCAACTGGACCACATCAACTATGTGGCCATATCTGAATGCTTGGCTATTTTTTTTTTTATTCTTTATTTTTCTTGTGCATACGATAACAGGCGTGTAGAGCCACAACAGTGTCTACAAGCATTTTCAAGACATTTCAAAGTGTGGCAGTTTGGTCGGCACATTTTTGTATAATCATGAAAATAACAGGCTGTTAAACATTGCTTTTAGAACATAACATGCTAGTGTATGTAGGCATATTAAAAGTGAGACGTGAGTTTGATTTAACATGCTAGTCACAGGCTGAGTTAAGACATACTGTGTTTGCTGTAGTATGGTTCAAGTAGGCCAGGCTAATGCCGATCGCTTATATAACATAACACAACATGCCAGTGTAATTAGGCGTGTCAAAAGTTAAACGTAAGTTTGATAAAACATGCTAAATTAACAACAGGCTGAGTTAAGACATACTGTGTTTGCTGTAGTATGGTTCAGTTAGGCCAGGCTAATACAAGTCGCTTATTTAACATAACATGCTAGGGTAACAAACCGAGTTAAACGTAAGTCTGATAGGACATGCTATATTAACTACATGCTGCGTCAAGACATACTATATTTCACTGTGGTGTGGTCCTGCCAGGACAGGCGTTTAGTTATATACTTGGTTATACTGTCTGAGTGCTTATCATTGAGAGCAGGTTTATGTCAGCAGTGGTGCAGGATTCGGCAACAGAGAGCGCCTGTTTCGAGGGGCCAGTGATTCAGCCGATACCTTTGGTGGGCAACATTATGCAGTCTCTGCTCTGGTCGGTTGTGGAGTGTGCGCGGTAAGTCGGGCCTCTTGGGGCTCCCGGTCTTGCTGCTGGGTGGAGGTGGGGATATTCCCCGGTCCCTGATGTCACATTGGGGTTGTGCAGCCCGGGTTCCCCTGGGCTGGGAGTCTGCCCCGGCATTCAGCTGCATGGGTCCCTGGGTTGTAGCTGTGGCGTGTAGGGGTTGAGAAGAGCTGTACCGAGCGCCGGCTCCCGTTCCAAGTGAGTCACCTGTGTGGGTGGCTGGTTTAGCAGTCCCGCTCTTAGGAGTGTGGGGGCAAGCACTTGTGCCTGGGCAAAATGGCTTCCTTACCCACTTATGGGATCGCTGGTGTGTGTGTGCCCCGGCGGCCTTTCTTGGCCTCGGTGTCAGGGAGTGCGGCCGCCTCTCCCCAGCCCCTGTCCCAGTAGGCCGCACTTGTCTTTTGACCCCCCTTGGCCCCGTCGGGCATCAGGGTGGTATAAATCTGTTTAGCGGTGCACCCCCGACATGGGTAGTGCACCCTCAGAGGTATTTGAGTGGTCTATATGCGGCTTTTGCCCCAATTGCTGCCCGCCGGGCAGGAGCTCATGCTACACACGTCTGCACGGCTTGCTGGTTCGGCTCCGCCCCCGAATGCTTGGCTATTTTGCAGTCACTTTGCCTAGATTTCAGATTTTAATTTGTTACTGGAGTTTAGTGAAAAACTCTAGAATTGTCTTCATTTTCAGAAAGTGTGAACATATAATTAGGGCACAAGTCTTACACTAATAGACAGTCCTGGAAGTTATTCCCAACTGCAAGCCTGCAGGGTCCGTGACACACTCACCAGGGGTGAATTTCTATTTCCTAGACCTACATTTTCACTATCCAGTGGCTGGTGGGTAAATGGAAATTTTGAGCCCTTTTAATGTATGTGTTTACTTACTTTCTTTCCAGTCTTGGTCATCCATGAGAGCCCTATTTTGTTGGCCAGCACAGCGGCCGTGACTGTAGTTCCGTTGTTTCCACCCCAGCCAACAAGCATTACACCCAGCTTGGGTAATTTACATTCTGTCCGGAAAGTGAATTTGGTGGAACATGGTTTGACCTGTAGACATATAAAGAAATGGTTTGGTGAGACAGTTAGGTTATATTCTACCATTAAATGACAAGGACACTTGGTTCACAAAAGTTAAAATAAATTGGTTACGTTCCTATAAAACTAGTTGAGTAAAATGACTTGATATTGGCAATATACCTATACCCAAATCATACTACTTAAAATTAAAGGGACATTTTAGTCACCAGTACAACTACAACATAACATAGTTGTTCTGGTGAGTATAGTCAGTCCCTCAGCCTTTTTGCAGTAAATACTATCTTTTCAGAGAAAATGCAGTGTTTACATTACTGTCTAGGGACACCTTCAGTGACCACTCCTCAGATGGCTCTAGAGGTGCTTCCTGGGGCAATGCTGCAAAAGGGGTTGGAGAGTGTTTTTATCACTCTAGGGTCAGGAATACATGTTTGTCTTCCTGACCCTATAGTGTTCCTTTAAGTTTAATTCACGTATCAATCAACAATCTACAGATTTAAGGCATTGGACTGTGAAAATGTTTGGTTTAGAGGCTATTAATTGTCCAGTAGTTTAAGTGCTGCTGGTTAACTAGTGCTACAAATCAAATTTTTTTTATTTTTTTTTAGAGAGTTTATCAAAACTTCAATGGAGCTTCTGTTGCACTTTTGAGACTTCTAAATGGGGACTAACCACAGGGCAAGCTAGTTCTCATATTCTTTGGTTTTGTTGTGATGCATTACTTATGCTCTCCCAAAGTTAAAATAGTAATCCTGACGTGGACCCCTTGCTAACTGTATCAGACACACCTTGCCGATAAAGCCCAAAGAAGGCCAAAGTGAAGATCCATGGGTTGCTATATTTCCCTTGCAGACGGCACTTGCCAGCATTTCGCATCTGGGCCACTCTTATTGTCAAAATCAGTCTAATATGCAAATAGTATAGGTTCACTGTGTAATGGCACAAGTGATCAAAAACATTGTTGAGGCCTGACCGGGGACTAACTGAAGGGCAATCTATTGAGGTTCTCTGACCTTTTGCCCATTCTCAGAGTTCTCGTATTCTCTGTATTTGTTGCACTTTTAGGAAAGCTTAAATAGAACACAAACGTAAGAAAAATACATGAATGAACATAAAGATAAATTCTAAACCATATGTATACATAGAATGTCTACACTAGCTCTAGTAGTGCAGATGTTCTGGGATCTTTCAATGCATAAATGAATGAGTCCTATTTATGGCAAACAGAAAGGTGTCATATTCTTGTTCCCAACAGATACAGTTTCATTGCACCCTGAAAAGAGTGACCTCTGTGTAATTCAGTATAGTATGTAAAGAATATGCATTTGATTGTGACCTTTATATGGTCATAATATTACCCTACACCAGTCTGTCTTGGTAGAAGTAAATGATCCCATAAAAGGTCTCCAGAACACAGGATATAAAAGAGAAACCAATGAAAGTCTACGGGACTAAACAAAGAACAGTAGAGAACAGACAAGGTAATTGCAAAATATATATTAAAAAATTAGCTATCCAGTAATAGTCATGTTAAAGAATGTGTCCGGTAGTGAAAGCACTGACTAATTCTTAGCGATGCACGTCGGACTATTATAAAGGATCATTATAGTGTTCGGAAAACTCACTAGTCGTGCATGTCTCTTAACACTTAGCTTTCCCACGGCCCCCATGCACTGACTGCTTATAAGTCTGAGATAATTTTTGGAACGCCTTTAATTTGTCTTGATCGGTACCTGCTGTAGTTGAAGAGAATAGCATGTATTGTTCTAACATACTATTTCCCCATTTCCTTTCTGTACCTTCATAATTTCAAAGTTATTCTAAACCATTTTACAATAATAAGCTTAACTAGAAAGCTACAATTTCTGGGGAAATATTAAAAATGAAGGCACAGTTGCAGTTTAGAAATTGCCTTTCAAGTTTGAGCTGGCTAGAGTGGCGTTTCAATGAATGTCAATGGACGGCGTGAGTTGCAAACAAATGGTCATATTGTGAAAACTATCAGGAATATGGCTTAGCCGTGGACATTTCTAGTGGCAGCAGGGATAGCTGAACGTTTTGATATAAGATTTGTGTAGCTGGGCTTGAAAATGAGGAAGTGGTGGCAGTTTAGAAACCATGTCCTGATTTTTCAGATTTTGCCAGCTCCCACTCTAGTTTTGAACATTTTGCCATTCATTCCTATGGGACCAATTTTGCCACAAGAACGACGATATTCCGTGAACCATTCGGCGAAACGTTCCACAAAGTAATAGCAATCCAATCGGGAACAATCCGCACGTTTCGGTATATTACGGTCTATGTAGTGTAAAAACTGTGGGAGGAGTTAGGGTGGTAAATTTGGCTATAATAATAATAATAATAATATATATGTGAGATAACATTAAGTGGTCTTGCTGTGCAAGAACACTTAATATATATATGCGAGATAACGTTAAGTGGTCTTGCTATGCAAGAACACTTAATATATATATATATATGAGATAACATTAAGTGGTCTTGCTATGAATAGTTCATAAGCATTATCAGTTCAATACAGAACTATTTTCCCTTATTCTCTCGGACTGCAGCTGATTATTTGTGGAAATTCAAAAATGGGGGTGCCCACTCTGCCTGATAATAGTCCCCTCCCTACCTTCTGCCCAGTGATTGCGGTGTTCAGTCTGAGGGAGCCTGGTCTGTGCATGTCCACACCACCTCAAACTGAACATTGCAATCTCGTGGTGGGAGAGGAAGGAAAACAAATTCAGAAATGCAACAGATGCAGACACGCACAACTACCAAGCCTACATGTACAAACACCACTACATATTCAGCTACCCACACATTTCTACTACCATAACGTTACACAAACAGCTAACCACAGCTAACCACAGTTACACAAACACACACACACACACTGCTACTCTTTTACTTTTTAAGTTTACTTTTGTTCCAACTGTGTATTTCAGAGTGGATTGGTTAAGTTTCTATTATAGTGCAAATAATAAAGGTTCACTGGTCGCAGTAATTTGGTCATAACAGAGTCCACTGCCAAACCAGAGCTGCTTATTCCGTGAAGCCAGTATGCTCCATTGGTACACATCTCTAATACAGCCAGATAATCTAATAGTATAACCACACCAGGGCCTTTAATTGGCTGGCCGACTAGCTGCCAAATCAACCTAAATCATTTCCATTCTATTCTCAGGAAATAAGGAGAATGGATTTAAGATTCTGGCTATATTCTAGAAGTCCAAAATGAGATTCTCTGGGACACCTGTATCCAAAGAGTACTTAATAAAAATATTTTCTTAACTCACATAGCCATCATCAAAAGGTGGAGTTTCTCTGGGTCTGGCAAGAATTATCAAAAAGAACAGTATTTTTTTTTCCAAATTTAGACCTCCTTAAAGAGTGTTTCAGTAACTTCTCTTTCATTCTCTATTTTAACACAAAGATCAAGGATGTTGACTGTAATAATTATACAATTAGAAGTAAACCTGATGTTGAACCTTATATTCTTTAAAGCAGACAGAAACAATTAAAGGGATCTCACACTCTGCCCCCCGTTGTTGATGGCATATAACTCCTATAATAGATGGCCAGAGAAGCATGGTTGTTGCTCAGAAACATCTGGGGTACTGGAGTTTGAGATACCGGATTAAAACCCTTACCCTAAATGCCACCTCTTAAAAAAAAATAATTAACCTGTAAGGACCATATTTGTCTACATGTATTCCTCCCCATAGGCCCATAAAGAGATTGGCATAACTGTGGCAAATCTTGTCCCCATTGTAGTTCCCCAAATTTAGAAAATAATTATCACAGTTCAGGATTGTAACTCTATAGTGACCCAAAATGAAATGGATCCAATGTGATATTTTCCCCATTGTGTTGGAATGAAGGGGATATCTGCAAATATGTCTGTTCCAACCCTGTTCCAGGACTTTTTTATTTGCAAGCCTTTAAAAGTGCTTACTAGTCCAATCTCAAAATAAAATCACTATGATGTACTTAAAGGACCACTATAGTGCCAGGAAACCGTTTTCCTGGCACTATAGTGCCCTGAGGGTGCCCCCACCCTCAGGGTCCCCCTCCCGCCCGGCTCTGGAAAGGGGAAAGGGGTTAAAACTTACCTTTTTCCAGTGCTGGCCGGAGAGCTCTCCTCGTCCGATCCTCCTCTTCTCCTCCCCGTTGGCTAGCTGCGCGCGCATTCAGCGGGTCACATAGGAAAGCATTCATAATGCTTTCCTATGGACGCTGGCGTGCTCTCACTGTGAAAATCACAGTGAGAAGCACGCAAGTGCCTCTATGGCTGTCAATGAGACAGCCGCTAGAGGAAATAGGGGAAGGCTTAACCCATTCATAAACATAGCAGTTTCTCTGAAACTGCTATATTTATGAAAAAATGGGTTAACCCTAGCTGGACCTGGCACCCAGACCACTTCATTAAGCTGAAGTGGTCTAGGTGCCTAGAGTGGTCCTTTAACAAGCAAGCTTTGAAATATTCTGAATACATTTTGGTAGAGGAGTGCTTCTAGATTGTTTCTGATACCTTGGTTACCCCATTCTCCTCGTAGACCTGTGTAGTTTGATAGTTGTAGTCAGCTTCTATCACATCCTTCAAATATCGCACACTGGGACTTTCAATCTTGAATGTATCTGCCATCTTTAAACTGCAATCAAAACACAACATTAACATACAATGCTAAACATTTGGTAGAATACATAATACCTCACCAATTTCCAAGAGGTTTATTTACAAAATAGAGAAATATGCTGAACTGGTGATACAGTTGCTAAACTTAAAGTAGCACAGTCACTAGCCTAATTTTTTAACAAATCATGCTAAATAAATGCTAGAATAGTTTTATTTTTTAATGCATTTTTTAAATATTATATATACCTCCATAGCCATTACATACTGAATAATATACAATTTTACTTTTTTTTTTTTTTAACACCAATGTATAGTGTGATTGGAAACAAAGAAAGAATTCCCTGAGGACATATAAGCCTGTATTTAGCAAGGACGTGCCCGAGCAAGCAATGGTGCAATTTCATCAATCATATCTGGCGCTATAGAAGACCTATCTACATTCCTCATCCAACTGAGGTGAGGGTCTGACTTGAGACTTTTCTTTTTTAAGCCAAATTAGTGGACTTGGTAAATCTCCTCTAACTCATAGAGGTTAAACACCAAACAGCAAATTGTGGTGAACTAAAAACCTAATTGGAAATTTTATGTTAAAATGGCCTAGCTGGGACTACCAATTTTTGGAGAACTTTTGCAAATCAGGTTTTCAAGTCACTGTTTAGTAAATAAACTCCAAGGTATTTTACCTTGCACTTTTCTTGCCAGTTCACAACAAAACATTTTTACGCTATGTAAAACAAAGGGACTTAAAAGGAACACACCGAGCACCATACCAATACAATGCTATGTAGTATTTATGGTGCCAGAGGTGTTCTGGCATCCCACAATGAATATAGTCAAAATAGCCGCGAATAGCTTGACTTCTTACCTGGGGTCCCCCAAGCACCGCTCCCAGCCTCCACAACTTCCGACAAAGAGCCACAAGCTCTCTAAGCTAATTCCATGGCGCAGAACACACTTTCAGAAAATAAGCCAACACTGCACTGCAGGATTTGGCTCCTAGAGCTTCTGGCTCTCTAAAAGATGTATGGGAGGCATGCCTCGGTGCTTGGCTGGTCCCAGGTAAGAAGGCAAACCATTATAGAAACTGTTTGACTACTTACATTGGGGGCACCAGGATACTACTGGCTTTATAACCACTACAGTGCACTGTAGTGGTTATGGTGCTTGGAGTGTTCCTTTTTTTTTTTTAAAGAAAAATCTGCCATATCTGTCATGCCTTTGTGCAAATGTGGTGAAGAGACCCCCAGCTTCTAAAGAAAACTACTACTATAACTGCTACAGTGTTAAAGTGTGCAAGCATTCAAAGTGATTTTCAAATTTAAAAGGACCACTCTAGGCACCCAGACCACTTCAGCTTAATGAAGTGGTCTAGGTGCCTGGTCCAGCTAGGATTAACCCCCCCCCCTTTTTTTTTTTTATAAACATAGCAGAGAAACTGCTATGTTTATAATAGGGTTAATCCAGCCTCCAAATCCTCTAGTGGCTGTCTCATTGACAGCCGCTAGAGGCGCTTGCGTGATTCTCACTGTGAAAATCACAGTGAGAACACGCAAGCGTCCATAGGAAAGCATTGTAAATGCTTTCCTATGAGACCGGCTGAATGTGCGTGCAGCTATTGCCGCGCGTGTGCATTCAGCCAAAAGGGAGGATCGGAGGCGGAGAGGAGGAGGAGAGCTCCCGCCCGGCGCTGGAAAAAAGGTAAGTGTAACCCCTTTCCTCGTCATCCAGCCCGGTGGGAAGGGGGTCCCTGAGGGTGGGGGCACCCTCAGGGCACTATAGTGCCAGGAAAATGAGTATGTTTTCCTGGCACTATAGTGGTCCTTTAAAGGCCTAAATAGCTGAGCTGGAAGCATAACTGACTTGGACAATTTTTCCAATTCAACTACTTTGTTCTAAAATTTTAAAATGATTTTTAATTCCCATGTCATAGTAAGACAAAATGTAGATACTAAAATTTAGAATACAGATTGAGGTTAAAAATATTTTGGTAAATATACATATTCGAATTACCAAAATATAAAATATTAGAGTTCATAACTTGGGATGGACATTGAGAGGAGTGTAATCACCTTCTTAATCCCAAGAAGGGATTGTAAATGAATTAAGATAAATAAATGCCCACAGTCAATTGGAATCTAAGTAAAGTCAAAGATCTCTCAGCATTCCTAAGTTTAGGGGGAAAAAACCCAAAAAACTCTAGTGTGCCATGCCAGATGAGCATGCTTAAAGGAAGTGGAGATTAGATGGTGTCAATGGTATTTTAAATATTCTAAGATGGTAAATAAAAACATTTAAACCGGTTGTGTTGACAGAGGCTTTTAAAACATTGAGTACCAACCACACAAGCTCACCTATAAACCAAAATGTTCATCATTAGGAAATACACTATATGGCAAAAATATGTGAACACCTGATCGTCACACCTAAATGAGCTTGTTGGTCATCCCATTCCAAACTCTTTAATTAATATTGATTTGACACCACCTTCGTGGCTGTAAGAGCCACCATTGTTCAGGAAAGGCATTCCACAAGATTTTGAGTTGGATCTATGGGAATTTGTACAAGCATCAAGCACTGAAGTTGAACAAGAAGGTCTGGCTTGCAATTAGAGTTATAATTCATCCCAAAAGTGCTCAGTGGGGTTCATTTCTGGCCACTTAGTATCCTCCACACCAAACTCGCCAGAACCATGTTTTCATGCACCTTGCTTTTTGAGCAGCTAAAACAAGAAAAGACCATCCCAAAATTTTGCCATGAAGTTAGAAGCACACAGTGTCTAAAATGTCTTTGTATCCTGTACTCTTAAAATGACCCTTCACTGGAATGAACGTGCCTAGCCCAAACCCTGAAAACCAGACCCACACACCAGTATCCCTTCTTCACTAAGCGCTCTGCACTCCAGTAGGTAGTGTTGTGCTGACATCCGCCACACCAAAATTCTTCCATCAGACTGCTGATAATGAAGCGTGATTCATTATGCCAGAGAACACGTTTCTAATGCTCCAGTATCCATTAGCAGTGTGATGTGAGGTTTATAGCTGGCTGCTCAGCCATGAAATCCCAGGCGATCTTTGCAGGCTACATGTGTCAGTATTTCGACCCCCTTGTATTGTGTGTATTTCTGGCTTACCACTTTGTAGCTTAAACACTTCCACTTCACAATATCAGCGCTTTCAGTTGATTGAGGCAGATCTAGGAGGGCAGAAACCTACCAACCTAACTTGTGACAAAAGTGGCATTCTGTGACAGCGGCACATTTAAAGTCACTGAGCTCTTAATGTTTCATGACTTTCATGTGCTAGATTCTGAGTCGTTTAGCAAGTGGTGAGGATGAAAGAACTGAACTCAATAATTACTAGGGGTGAGTAGCAGACCACGGGTAACCAGACTGGTTACCTCCGCTAATTCCTTCCTTCAGCCACTCTGGAACCATTAAAGGAGCACTATAGTGCCACGAAAACACACAATCTTATTTTCCTGGCACTATAGGGTCATTAGGTCCCCCCACCCTCAGGGCCGCCCTCCCGCTAGCTGAAGGGGTTAAACCCCCCTTCAGCCACTTACCTTTCTCCAGTGACTGGCTCCCTCGGCGCTGGTGACCTCTCCTCCCCCTGCCGACATCAGATCCAAATGCGCATGCGCGGCAAGAGCTTCCACTTAACCACAAGCTGGCATACACAGTCTGATCCCAATGGATCGGCTTGGGGATGTCCAGGAAGCATTGCCATTTTGCTTACCGGGTCTATAATGAATGGAAAAGTCGCATGGTTGTAGGGTCAGGCTCCACCGCAGGAACCTGGCATTGTCTTTTACCTGGCCCATAATCCTAGGGCAGGAGGCTGACCAGCAGGCTCCTCCAGGAGCTTGTGGCAAACATACAGGAAAAGAAGCGTTTGCCACAGGGTGTACACACATTTTGGCCATATAGTTTATTTTTGCTATATTCTAAATACTGTATATGCACAGAATACTGAATTGATTTAAATCAAGCTAAATAAACAAGCTGCCTATGTGTTGTATGTGATTTTAATGGGATGAACCAAATTCGTTACTCCATGGTGCATGCATGCAGAGTGCATCAGCAACCATCTCTCTCGCAGAGTTCTTATGTGCAAAAAGATTCTACCATTTATCATTGGAAGCAACAGGATTGGCTGGGGCTCCTGGCAACATTTTACAGCATCAGAGGGAGATTCAGATCTGAAGAAAAGACAGATCACTGTGCAGTTTTTCATGCATAGTTTAGTTTAATAAAATGAATTTTAAAATGTTTTAATAAGTTGCAGAATCCTTTTAATAAAGTCTGGCTCAATACCTAATTAAACCATATATAGTTTGGGCAAAGTCTAAATATAAATCTAATTTAATAAACTTGTACAGGAATTGCTTAATATTTTAAACAGTACCCAAGACCATTTTATAAAGCAGTATAAGTCTACTTGAGTCATGTTTCGACAGGAAAGTTCAGAATGTGTTTTAACCCCTTCAGGACGGAGTCAATAGTACACGTTCTGATCAAAACAAAACGAAAACTGGAATTTGCGCTATATGTCTGTTCACCCGTAATTCACCACTGTCACATTAAGTGGACCCACACATATAATTTTGTTCAGGAGAAACAGGGCTTTAATTTATCATTAACTATTCATATATGGAACATAATTTATTATGAATAAAATTTTAAAAAATGTGAGAAAATAAGATTTTGTTTTTAAATTTCCGTCTCACATTTTAGCTGTGAATGTCATAATACGGTTAGGTTTTACTGCAAAACAATGCATTTATTTAATCAGCGATGTCTCACGAGTACAACAGTACCCCCCATTAACAGGTTTTATGGTGTTTTGGAAAGTTACAGGGTCAAATATAGAACGTTCCATTTTCACATTGAAATTTGCCAGATTAGTAATGTTACCTTTGAGACGGTGTGGTAGCCCAGGAATGATAATTACCCCCATAATGGCATACCATTTGAAAAAGTAGACAACCCAAGGTATTGAACGTGGGGTATGTTTAGTCTTTTTTAGTAGCCACTTAGTCACAAACACTGGCCAAAGTTAGCGTTCATATTTGTTTTTGTGTGAAAAAGCAAAAAACTAATATTTGGCCAGTGTTTGTGACTAAGTGGCTACTAAGAAAGACTGGACATACCCCACTTGCAATACCTTGGGTTGTCTACTTTTGCAAATGGTATGCCATCATGGGGTAATTCTCATTCCTGGGCTACCATACGCTCTCAAAGGCAACATAACCAATCTGGCAAATTTCAATGTCAAAAAAATGAAATGCAAGCCTTATATGTGACTCTCTAACTTTCCAAAACACCATAAAACCTGTACATGGGGGGTACTGTTATTCTTGGGAGACTTCACTAAACACAAATATTAGTGTTTTTAAACAGTAAAACATATTACAAAAATAATATAGTCCATAAAAATGCCGTTCGTTTTTAAAAAAAATGCAAAAAACATCATTTTTACTTAAAATATAATCGTTGAAATACAATTTACCAGTTTGAAACACTAATATTTGAGTTCAGCGAAGTCTCCCGAGTAAAACAGTACCCCCTATGTACAGGTTTTATGGTGTCTTGGAGAGTTACAGGGTCAAATAGAGTGCTTAAGAATTAAATTCTCTGCACTTCCTCCCTTTGTTGTCATGCATGTCAATCAAATTTTCATTAATCAAATCTCATAATTATGTTAAAAGATGACTTAAATATACATGTAGAATTTTAATATATATGCATTTATAGGTATTTAAATTCTACGGGTAAACTAATGTAATCTTTTATGTAATTATATGTGCAGGGTACACTCGGTGATTGGGTAAGTTTAATACATGATATGGTATTTATTTTGCATTTTCACATGGTATAGCATCTTGATAAAGACCGCTAGACGGTCGAAACGTTGATTTGTATGCTTTATATTTAATACATTATTGATTTACAAAATCCATTGAGTGCTCTCAATCTTTTCGGTTTATATTTTTGCACGGAGAGAGGCACCTGGTAATTGCTGGACGTGATTCATTTATTGTTTTTTGGGATGAGTGCCATAAACTGTTGAAATATATATACATATATATATATATATATATATATATATATATATATAGATAGATATATATATATAGAATGTCATTCTAAGTGTATTTTGTTACACACACACACACATATATTATATATATACACACACACACTAATAAAATACAGTTAGAATGAAATTACATATGTATATTTTAATTTTTTTAAAATATTTTGTTATAGTAATTATACGTATGTGTGTATATATATATATATATATATATATATATATATATATACACACACACACACACACATTATATATATGTAACGTCATTCTAAGTGTATTTTAACACTAATATATGTACTTATATTAATATTAAAATACACTTTGTATGACGTTTGTATATCTATACATTTATTTTAAACAGGTTTAATTATTTTATTTTTTTTTTACACCTCCTACCAGCAGGGGGACTGTCTGACATTTCAGGCAGTCCCCCTGCTGGCAGATCCACAGCCAGCTATAGGGGGCCATGTGATTGTTCTTTGAGATCGATCACATGGCCCCCGGGAGCCTCATTTGCCGGGGAGGGCTGCCTGGGCTGTCAGGCAGCCCTCCAGAAGAGGATTGCGGCTGAGGTAAGTGCACCGGACCTCCAGGGGCTCAAAGCCGTTACATGTCGCCGCAACGGCTTTAAAAACCTGTACATGGGGGGTACTGTTTTACTCAGGAGACTTTGCTGAACACAAATATTAGTGTTTAAAAACTGGAAAACGTATCACAACAATTATATCATCAGTAAAAGTGCTGTTTGTGTGTGAAAAATGCAAAAAAAGTCACTTTCACTGACAATATCATCGCTGTGATATGTTTTACTGTTTTGAACCACTAATATTTGTGTTCAGCGAAGTCTCCCGAGTAAAACAGTACCCCCCATGTACAGGTTTTAGGGTGTCGTAGAACGTTACAGGGTAAAATACAGTGCTAGCAAATTCAATTCTCTGGAATTTCGGCCTGGGTTGGCAGGCAGGTCCCTTAAATTGCAATCAATAAAATTACTGAATTATGTAAAACTATTACATAAATATGCACGTAGAATTTAAATATATATGCATATTTATATATCTGAAGTCTACGTGTATATTTATATAATTATTTATGTAATTTTGTATATGGACATATGTATATTTCTTATTATTTTTATTTATTTTTATATACATAGATATATATACAAATTCATTCTAAGTGTATTTTGATATAAATATATATATATTAATTTTAAAATACAGTTAGAATAAAATTTCATATAGCTATATAATTTTTTTTAAATTTTTTATTATTATTTTAAAAAATTTTTATTTAATTTAAATTACTTATTATTTATATTTTATAATAATATATATATACAATATATATAGTTATTATATATATTATATATATACGTGTGTAATTTAATTATAAGTGCATATTAATATAAAAATACACTTAGTATGGCATTATATATATATGATATATAGACATATATTATATAAATATAATATATGTCTATATATCATATATACACCTATATAGTTATTTTTTTATTAACGTTAACTTTATATTTTTTTTCTGATTTTACACATGCAGGGAGACTGCCTGTCAGCACAGACAGTCCCCCTGCAGGCAGACACATGGACACCTAGTGTGACCATGTGATCGCTGTGTTAAGCGATCACATGGCCACAGGGGGTCCTAATTCAGTGTGGGGAGACTGTCTGGGCTGCAGGCAGTCTCCCCACAACTGGAGCCACGCTGATCGCCGCCGGGGGAACGACGGCGATCAGGTAAGTAACGGAGACCGTTAGGACGGTTCAGGACCGTCATCGGTCCTCAAGGCAAAAATGCCGATGACGGTCCTGAACCGTCCTGGGTCGCTAAGGGGTTAAAGGACCACTATAGTGCCAGGAAAACATACTCGTTTTCCTGGCACTATAGTGGCCTGAGGGTGCCCCCACCCTCAGGGACCCCTCCCGCCCGCCTCTGGAAGGGGAAAAGGGGTAAAAACTTACCTTTTTCCAGCGCTGGGCGGGGAGCTCTCCTCCTCCGATCCTCCCCGTCGGCTGAATGTGCGCGCATTCAGCCGGTCGCATAGGAAAGCATTCACAATGCTTTCCTATGGACGCTGGTGTGCTCTCACTGTGAAAATCACAGTGCGAAGCACGCAAGCGCCTCTAGCGGCTGTCAATGAGACAGCCGCTAGAGGCTTTGGGGGAAGGCTTAACCCATTCATAAACATAGCAGTTTCTCTGAAACTGCTATGTTTATAAAAGAATGGGTTAATCCTAGCTGGACCTGGCACCAAGACCACTTCATTAAGCTGAAGTGGTCTGGGTGCCTAGAGTGGTCCTTTAACACCATATCTTGTGGCTGTCTCTCAGACAGACTTTTGGTCCCCTGACGCTGGACATCCTCACACTCTACAAGAGTACATCCAGCTTCATAGGAAAGCATTAAAATGTATTTTATACCGTGTTGCACTATTTTGCCATTTCGGCTCTATTTTATATACACCTAAGAAGCCAGGAATGGAAGAATCTTTTTGGGAACGTACCCCTGTGGGGGAGACAAGCCTGCTAACTATTTCCATCTTGTGAGTGTTTTTCCTCCCCCTTCCCTTTTGTTTATCAGCTTCACCATATCCAGTTTCCTTTCCTTTTAGATTTTATCACCAGGTTTAAATGTGTTCTTTTTATCCTGTTATGCAGGCTATATTTTCCTTATTGGTGGTTTGATTCCACTTGTCACATATTTGTTTCACTTACCTGTGTGTATTATATATTGTTTGGACCTCAGTACATACATATTTTGTATATATTTTTTGGTTTATTCTTTGTATGGGGTATTTGTGAGGTACATTTTATGGGTGGCCCTGCTTGTTACATTTGTGTTATAAATGCACACACGTTTGCTAGAGAGAATATATATATATATCCCATTATACAGCGCTACAGAATTTGCTGGGAGAGAGAGACACACACGAGACTACGTTTACAGAGAGCATTAAAATAACTTGACATGGTGTAAAGTAAATATCACCCGGATAGGTTTCCGTATCATTGAGCAAGACATGCTTTTGAACTTGAATGGTTAAGTAAGAGCTGTGTTGTATTCACCCTGCCTCTTTCTCTCTCCCCATACATTAGTCCCAGCCCCTCAAGTCACAATAGTGGACTGCAGCCAGTAGCAGAGAGACAAGCGTAAGAGCCAAACCCCTTTGTGAGAGAGACATGTTACAGGGCTGAACCCAGCCTGATAGGGGAACAGGTATACCCCGCATGATGCACGAGGGAGGAGAAAGCCTGCTCGCAGGGTGGGCTAATGACTTTTTAAATAGAATGGCCACGCTTACATAAAGGCCTTAAAGTGCAACACCCTGGACAGCAGTTCCAGAATCGGTTCCAAATGAATGAATGCCTGTGAAACATAATGAATTTGCCCACATGTGTCTTTGTAATCTGGTTTTATTAGTATAATTGAGCAGAATATCAGTGCCATATGTTTCTAATCAATTAAAATCCTCTATACACGTGTAATTCCTGTCCCCACAGAGCTCAGCTTTTATGACGCATGTTCAGAATATATGTTTATCTATATAAAAGCCCATAATATGTCTGTATTCTTCCTCAGGCAATGAATAATCCTACACCGAGTACATGTTGAGATACTGTGTGTACAGACGTAGTTTGAGTACAAGCTGCAGCGTGCGAGGTTATTAGAAGAAGATAATCACTTACCCGGTGTTCTAGAATCTGGAAGGTGAAGCCGGCTGCACTGAGAGCTTTCCTTGTAATAATCAGCTCATTACACTATATCCTCCTCTTTACAGCATCCCCTTCCCTGTCATCCAGCACTACACGACGCCCTTATCCGACAACATCCCGCCCACCATCACAGTGTGGCCTCCTGTCAGCTCCCTATCTGGATTTCAACTAATTCCGCTCCTGTTGGCAGGTGAACATTATTTAAATCCTACTGTAGCCTAAAAGAAGAAGAATAATACATATACCCATGCTATTGTAAGAGGCAAGCTAGGATTGCTACCTTTTTAGGGTTTGTATTATATATTATATCCACACAAATGATTGCCTATAAATTATACATGTGATATCAGTCTTAATGGGTTATATGAATATTAATTAAAAATGTATATAAAACACATTTAATGGGCATGTAATCAATGTTCAAGAGCTATCTAGCAAATAAGGATAGTACCTCAATTTGAGAATACTTGCATGGTGAAGATCATGGGGCTTATTTACTAAAATACCAAACTGAATCGGGAGGACAAGGGAGACATGATATAAGCCAAGCTGTGGCTGCAGCTTGGTTAAGTTTCCAAGGTCTGAAAATTAAGATAACGTTTTTCCATTCAGATCTCAAATCCAGTGGTGTATCCAGGTTTTGTGCTGCCCTAGGCAGGACAAAACTCAGGCACAAACCTCCCCCCGCGCCACCCCCACCCAACCCTTCCACCCTGCCCCACCTTCTAAACACACACACAATATCACTCACATCATTTTTTTTTTTCTTTTTATTTAACCAGCCTCCTTACCTTTGGGAGTGCTGGGCTTCTCTTTCTCCCTGGTGGTCCAGTGGCTGCCAGTTGGACTGATGGGCTGGCTGGTGGTCAGGCGGGCGGCTGGCAAGGGAGCACTTCCTCTGAGCAGTCTGCTCAGCTCCCTCGCGTGGCGCAGAGTGAGGCTGGGAGCCGGAATATGACGTCATCAACCCGGCTCCCAGCCTCACTCTGCGGCGCACGAGGGAGCTGAGCAGACTACTCAGAGAAAGAGCTCCCTCGCCAGCCGCCCGCCCGACCACCAGCCAACGCTGCCCGCCAGCCCAGCATGTCAGTTAGCCGCAAGGCTAACTAGGTATTTGCCCTGGGCATTTGGGGGGCGGCGTTTTTTGCTGCCCTCTAAAAAATGACACCCAAGGCAAATGCCTTGTTTGCCGCGCGGCTAATACGCCACTGCTCAAATCTCTACAATTTACAAATCTTTGCAAGTTTGTGAATAAGCCCAAATGAACGGAACAATATTAGGCTATGTTTTGCATGTCTATTTCCATCCACTACAATTTTGTTTAGTGACTAAAACCTTTAGAGTCACTTTTCTGTGTTTTTGCACAATGCTAATGTGTTTGGGGGATTCACTTAAAAAAAAAAAAAAACACAAAAAAACTATTTTAAACTATATATAAGGCAAAGAAAACAATTCGTATGACTGCATCTTCCACAAACCCTCACAGCATGGTATAGTGTAGCCTGCACTAACAAAGGGTTACTGACAGTGATAGGACATGAATTCAGGAATCCCACCTAATCCAAAACCCCTCTAACATAACCCTGAAAGGTAACCTCAATTGACTTACCTATTGTGAGCTGCTGTGTTTCCGGAGTATTCTATAAACAGTTTCTGGAATGAATATTTGAGTACTGTATGTTATTGGCAAACGGGTGTGACAGCATAGTTCACTGAGTTCACAGAAACACTGTCACTCACGCAGTACTCACATTCTCTCTACAACCAAATATTATACCCTTAATCTTGCCATTATCAATTGCAATTGTTGTAATGCACACTAATCTGCACTTATATGATTATCACACTAGACTATCCGTTTGTATAACAGTTTCTGTATGACAGTATATATTATATACTGTATTTTTCAGTGTGTGTAAGACGCCCCCATGTATAAGACGACCCCTTACTTTTTTAGGCCAAAACTAAGAAATCAATATTTTAAACATCAAATAGAACAAATTTGATATTTTAGAGGTGAGAACAACAACACACTTCTGATTCTCATTCCTCCCCTGTGCTACAGTACTCTGTGAAGTAAATGGATCTATAGTGCATGCTGGGAGACTACAGCTTCCACAATACAGCAGGTGGTGTGAGGGCATGCTAGGACATCACAGCAGTATTCCCTCTGCACCCTGATCCCCATTTCCTCCCCCATGAATATAAATCAGAAAGCAAGGTCTACCTGAGGTGGAGTATACTTTAATATGGCTGCTCTTTTTATGGTGTGGCAGGTCTCTGGAACTCCGTTGGTGGTAAGTGCTGATGTCTGCTGCAGCTCCCACGCATATAGGGACCTCTTCCTCCTTGCCACAGTAATCAGAATTGGATTAGCGGGAGGGAGACCAGGTATGGGTGTGGGCCGTGGCACACTGAAATGCGGCAGGCGCCATCTTGGCTTAGGCCATGCGCACAAGTGTTTTTTAACACCTGCACTGAAATTCCGTGTAGAATACGACCAGTGGGGTATTTTGGTTTTGTGCTGCCCTATGCATGACTAAACTTATCCCACCCCTTCCGGTCAAGACCAAACCCCTTACTTTTAAGACCCAACCCTTCTGTAAACTCCACCTCTTCATCTCTGTCCTCGGTTTTCAAAGCATACTTTGCCATCAAACTGGTTTGCACTACCATATTTCTCCCAAAACAACTTTACAGTCCCAGATTTGTCCCCAACCAACTTATCCGTGTCATATGCCTTTATGCTTTAAATGCATAAACTTGGTATATCGTAGTAATCAGCTATACGTGCATAAACTAGGTATAGCATGGCAATCAGTTATAAATACATAAACATGCTATATCATGGCAATCAGCTGTAAATTTAGTATATTTTGCCAATGACCTGGAGAGTACCTCACTCTGAAGCCGCTGCCTCTAAACGAGCACAAAGATGTGACGTCACACCTGGCGCTCAGGTCTGAGGGTTGGGATGTAGACAGCTTAGTAGTGAGTTAAAGTTGTGGAGGCAAATGGGGGACAGTAAGCGCTGCAGAATCTGTTGTCGCTATATAAATGGCAATAATAATAGTTATAATAATAGGGTTGGTGTCACTCTGTGCAGTAACTCATGATGTCACCCCCTGGATATCCTTCAGTACCAGACCATACAGAATCCTTAGTGCAATAATGCAATTATTTAGTGTATTTTCAATTCCAGGATAGGATACGGTTAGCACAGACCAACATTTAGACTCCTACACATTTTGATAATTTTACAAAAACAAAGGTGTATTAAGCAACTAACAAGTTATTCGGGCTGGGCATGGAAAAGTATGTGTTAGGTCTAGCTCTTAGAACACATGAATTTCCAGGAGCAATCTTACTGACACAAAATGACAGAATTCTCACATATCCCTCTTTAGGAGAGAATACATTTTTGGAAAAAAAAGCTCACATTCTAATGTAATACAGGTAGCTAATAAAGCTTGCACTCTAATGTAAGTACGATAACCAATAAAAATTGCACTATGACTGAAGTACATTAAAGTGCAAGCTTTATTACCTAACTGAATTACATAATTCAGCCATAGACAATAAAAGCCATATGGACTATGTATATATAGATGGGAGCCTTTACGTATAGAGAACAGACATATAGTCTGTGCGTATATAGGTTGGATTGTGGCATTATATAGCCGTATAGACTGCATGTATATAAATAGGAGCATTTTACTTATTGAGAGAGCCATATATTGTGTATGTATATAGGTAGGAGTGTGACATTATTGACTCAGTATAGTCATGTATATATAGATGGGAGCCTTTTATTTATAGAAAACAGCATTATAGTCTGTGCGTATATAGATAGGAGCCTTTTCTATAAATAAAAGGCTCCCAACTTTTTGTTGAACCTGGTTTCTCTAATACAGTATAAACTAAGAGACTTTTACTCCATTCTCCTTATTTTAACAAACAATAGTACTTACATGATAAGGGAAAACATAATTACAAATTTTATAACAAGACACGGAGGCTCATATTGCATATCCCTTTCTTTACTGTCCACCAATAGCAGCAAAGAATACAAACAGAATGAAAAAATAATGAACATACAGTAACATAGGCCCCTCCTCCCTGCTCAGGTCCAAGTATAATAGGCAGCACATCCCTTCCATTTCCTCTTTCTTTGCTGCTCCAATACAAAGATAAGTACACGTCACATTTTTTCTCTGATTTACTTATTGATTGCTTGCCATTGATATTATTTATTGTAGTTTATTCTTGGTGTTACACTGTATTGTTTTATCTGTTGATTGATTCTTTATTGTTTTTATTTTTACTATTAGAGATTTTTTCTCTGTTCATATTGTACTCTTTTCACTTGACTTTGTCCTTGTGGTTTTCTCATCTCTTTTTCAGTTCCTTATCTCAGACTTGCTTTTACCTCTCCCTGTCTTTTTGGCACCCTTTTGCACCCGTTTCTCTGTTCTGTTCGGCTGTTTTTCGTGAAGGAATCAAGCCCATTCGGCTAATTCGTCTGAACACATGCTGTTCGTTAATTTTACCGGCATATAGCATCATTCGCCTGTCTGCCACGTTCGACTAAATTTTATACGAACGGTCTGCTCATTCGTCTGTTTTTCCTCTTCCTATATGCTAGTCTATCTATTTACACAAATTAATTTTTTACCGAACGTTCGGTTCTTTAACTTGACGAATTCACAGGATTTTGCTGGCAGCCATTTTCTGACTTCCTGTCTCCCTTCCTACCTCGTGTGTGCGTGTGCCACTGGTCTGGGCCCTGGTGAGATCTCTCTTATACCTGTTGCTTTCAGTTTGGGTGACTAACTCATACTATTCTGCTAATTTAGTAACTAGGGATTAGATCCCGTTTTTCTATTATGCCTAAACCTAGGCTACCTTCCAGCTCCCCACCCTCTGGGGAGACTGATGCCCCATTTACTCTGGGAGAGACACGTCACCTCGGGCACTCCACCCACTCTGGTAGACAGGCCCATTTGGAACTGAGAGTTAAAGGCAGAAAAAAAATCTTTAAAATTGTATTTATTAACTTCCTTGTAATTAAACAAACTGAAGTATTGGGACAAAAAAAAAAAAAACAGCCAAGAAACACAGTGAAAGACAAATCAAACCAATTAAATAAAATTTAAAAAAATAGGGAAAAAATTTTAATTAAAAAAGAGCAAATAAATTAAACAGAAGAATAGAAGAGGAGGGAGGACTAACACATATATATATCTGCAAATTGGCATTATGTGCAGTTCCAGGGTCCCTACAGTCAGGGCAGCACTGGGACACTATGTTACATGCAGCACTAGCTCTTTGCATTTATTAAATTGGATAAAAAGGAAGTTTTGCGCACACGTTGGAAAATGTGATAATCTGTAACATAAATAGCTATCATAGGATAATATGTAATCAATACTATGTATATTTAGTAATAACTGGAAACACTCACAATTTAGAGTTTTTTATAATGCACATATAATTAAAACATTACATACATATGGTGGTTAAATGCACAATCCGCATATGACCATATAAGGGTTTTCCGGGTCATTTTCCCCTCCCAATATGGCATCCTCATAGTCCTTATACTTTCTATTATGACCTTCTTTGGAGGATATGTGAGCTTCCTGCTCACGTTGCTGCCGATCATGTGACTCGCGCACTTGTTCGTCATGTGACTTCCGGTCTAGATGCCGATACGTCACTTCCGGTTGCGTCATTTCCGCTTTTTCGTGTTTACAATTTCACCATTCCAAATAGATTAAAGCAGAAATCGTCACTTCCGTTTTACACAATGAGATAGAATAAGTCTTTTATAGGAAATTAATCCTAAATATGTCCATATAAAGTGCAAATTATTAACTCAAACAAAAATCAGAGAGGAAAGAGGGAAGAAAAAAACAGAGGAGAGAGCAAATTATTTAAAAATTAACCCAAGTAATATAAAAAACAATGTATATAAAATAATCATTAAAAATATAATATATTGGCAATTAAACACTATAAAACATCATATACATATCAAAAGCTCATAAAATGGGCCCTATGTCAAAGTCCAAATTTAATCCCCTTGGATATAAGGTTTGTAACTCAAAAATCCAAGAGCTCTCTTTTTTGCTTAGGTTTAAAATGTTATTTCCTCCTCTTTGCATTTATTACCCATTTAATCCTGCTCACCTATTATGACCCTGCCTTCCCAGTCTCCTAACCCATTACTTTGGGAGCATGAACCAGGAGAAGAGGCTTCCATAGAGAGCAACCGCATGGTCCATCAGGGGGTGTGTCATCTGTCAAGCTGATGTCAGGAGAGGGGCTGGAAGGCTCCACTAGCTGATAATCTGGAGGGGTGTGCAGTAGGTACTGAACTGCTTATCATGCTGACTGACTGCTACCTTCTAGGAGAGAGACAGCTTATCCTACTGCAAATGCTCCCAGTCTCACTCCCTCTCCCTTTTCAAGCTCTGCTTGGGAACAAAAATACCAATCTGAGGATGACAGCTTGTCACCACCGTTTTTTGCCGCCCTCTTGGAATGTGCCACCCAAGACGAGTTCCTTGTTTGTGTCCCTGAAGATCCACCACTGTAGATGACCCAGAATTATGGTATAATATATAATATATATATATATACATACACACACACAAATTATATATTTAAATAAATACTTTACGAAAAAATATAGATATTAAAACTAGTCTTGGTGGAATATAGTCATTTAAGGGCACTATATAGAGCTGGATATGCTCTCTGGAATACTAAAGAAAAAAAAGGAATCAATGTTATATCTGAATGCTAATGCCTTATTTAGGGTTGTGATTTTCATGATTTATATTAAAAATCTAGATTTAATAATTCACCTAATATATCAATTTCCAAATGTAAATCACAGGAATAGGAAGCTTTCTGAACATCAGACATAAATTATAGTATTCATTCATTAGGAAACGCATCACGAAAACTCATACGTAAAGGGAACTCATAATTAAAGGAAACCTGTAACTATCATGGCCTCCCCTGCCACAATCTTATCAGAGAGGTCCACCCTCATGCAGTGGTGGCTATCATGGCCTCCCCTGCCACAATCTTATCAGAGAGGTCCACCCTCATGCAGTGGTGGCTCTAGACTTTGCGAGGCCTTAGGTGAAACTCAAACATGAGGCTCACACTAACACCCAAAAAATAGGGTCTGCATTGTGTGTGTATATAAGGAGCTGTGGTTATATAGAAGGCTAGACTTGCAGCGTTGATACAGAGAGCTAGTCTCTGTAGTCAATATTCAGAGGCTCCCTGTGCCTCTGTATTGTGAGCTCTCCTCTGACTGTAGTGTTTTTTTTTTTTGTTTTTTTTTGTAATGCTTTATTTTTGTTGTGCATGGATGGTACAATACATCATTTTGCACTGTTAAATAGCACAGAACAAAAACAGGTCAGGAGAAATCAGTACAGTGAAGAGTAATCTGCACAATTTGTAAATAATAGTCAAGCTGGAAGAACACAGTGCTAATAGAATATATGGATAAGTCTACCAGGGTAGAGTGAGAGGTAAGAGCACTGGATACAGAAGCTCAGAGAATTAGGGTTCAATGCCCATGAGTAGTACCATGCCAACGCTGTCAGGAGAGTATACCCCCAGGAGGCCCCCCTAAAGGTCATATAGACAGCCCAATAGAAAAAAGGAGAATAAAGTTTAAGTAGCATATTGTTAACTAGGGACAAAGATACTGCAAAGCAAGTAGAGGTGCAGTGGGACCACTGCTATTGCCTGTCAGGTGGGAACATGAAGGGTAAGACTGAGGCATAAGCACTGTCCTTGATTCAAATGTAGTTTCAGCCAATGCCCTGCAGGGGCCAAGCAAGTTGAAGGCCCTTGAGCCCAAATGAGAACAGGGCAGGGTTGCCTCATGGCCCGCCATATTAGGCGAGTCACTCCATTGTTCCTTGGTCTCTGTGGCTGCACCTCCAGTCCTCAGTGGGTCAGTTTAGTCTCCCAGGGGTAGACCGGGATTACCCCTGCCGGTCCAAAGGGGAGGGGGTAACGGGGCACCTGGACATCGCTGATAGCTGTCGAGCAGCCCCAGTCTGGGAGATCATCCACTTCCCCCAACCAGTACCCTCTAGGCCGCATGGTGCAAGTCGTGCAACAGATGAGCTCCTGCCAGATTTCTGATACCTGCAGAGTACCTCAGCTTAATCAGAGGTCAGTTAAGTCACTGGGCACGGCAGAAATCTGATTCGGTGTAGCCAAAAACTGCATGTACTGCCAGCATAGGAGAGGATCTCAAGCTAAACAGGGTGACTGGTATGCCCAATCTGGACTGCTTAAAGCAGACTTTCATGGACTGACGAGGGCTTGATGTGGGACAAACGTACAAACTATTTGGAACTTTGTCGAGGAGGCTGCCAGGATGGATGGACTTTTTGGGACTGGTTACCCGACTAACTCAGGCATAGACTGATTGAAGGATATATATTATATATATTTAAGATAGTTATTGGTTTAACCTTCTCCAAGTGTTGTCTGGTGTTTGAGGAAAAAGCTCTGATTATTGCTCTGCTGATGAAAAGGATGTCCAGTGCTATAATCCTAGTAGCCTGGTCCAGGGTGGACAAGGCCCTCAGGGATCCCAGTCAAACCTTGCTCCAGGTTTCCTGATAGCTACGAGGAAGCGGACTTGGCAGACGTACTCAGTCAGAATACTGGAGTTCTGTCACAGGAGCTGTACCCAACATGCAGGAAAGAGGAAACCCACAAAAGGTGGATCCAAAAGGTGTATTACCGAGCTTTAGAGTGGCCATACTTAATGTAATAATATAGCAAGAATCAAGGCCAAGGATACAGAAATACACAAAGTCAAGATAAAGCCGGGTCAGGATACCAGAAAATACAAGTCAGAATACAAGGCCGAGGTCAGGGTACCAGAAATCACAAGGTCAAATACGAATCCAAGGTTAAACACAGAAAATCACTAGGGAATCATTAGGCACTCAAGTATCAATTTAGCAGGTTTATTGGAACAAAGTGCAACTTTTCGATCCCACAAGGGATCTTTCTCAAGCTTGAGAAAGATCCCTTGTGGAATCGAAAAGTTGCACTTTGTTCCAATAAACCTGCTGAATTGATCCTTGAGTGCCTGGACTACAATTTTTTTGGACTACAATTTTTGTACAATAAGGAAGTACCACCACACAGTCACGTGGATCAGCTGGACCGCGCAGCAGGAGATGATGAGTGCAGACAGGAGAAGGGCTGTGCGGCTTGATGGAGGGTAGTACCCTTCCCTATGCCACACGACCTCGTGTAGCGGCGGTCAGACCGCACGGCAGGAGGAGGGCAGCGCGGCAGGAGTAAAGTACATGCCACACTAGCACATACAAATACAAAGTCACACTAACACACAAAGATAAATAGATGCACACAATGACACTCATACATATATACACACATGCAGATACAAAGGTGCACACATTGACACACAGAGAGATAGATACACAGACCGACCGCAAGCCCTGATTCTCTGGAACTGTTTTGGGTATGGGACCATGCGTGCAGTCAGTCAAATAATTTATTTCCAGGAAATTCCTGAACCCCTGAACTGATCTGGGTGATTTTTGGATATGTTGGTCACCCAGCTCACGGCTACCAGGGGATGTAACTTTTGTGGGGGCTTTAAGTTATTTTTTTTTATTTTATTTTTTTAAATGTGTGTTTTTGTGTCTGGAGATAATTGATTAATACAGTACTTGACTCAATTATCTCCCAGGCAGAGGGGAGGGATTGTATGATTATGTCTGGGAGTGCTATGTACTTGAACAATTTTGCCGTTGGTCTGTAACTTTGTAGTCTTCCACCAGGTCCAGGTGGGAGTACCCCTTGCATGGGGACTTGCATAAGGCCAGTTGTGGCTACCATTAAAGGAATTCCTGCTTATTCTCAAAAAAAAAAAAAAAAAAAGTCATCTCATGTGTGGGGGAAACAGCTGTATCTACTCTAGGGATTGCTATATCACTATACCACCCTGGGATTATAATCACTTGCTCTTGTAAGAGCAGCCTGCTTTGTTCTCTGGATTAGGAGAGGTCTACCCACTGGAAGCTGGATCCTGGTCTTGGGTCCAGGGTGGGTGGAGGACAGCGAGACCCCAACCAAGTTGTAACTCTGGAAGTGGGGACTACAGTGCTGATGGTGTCTGGTGCGGTGCTTGTGGTACTCGGTAAGCACTAAGGAAGCAGCGATTGGCAGAGGCACCCGGTCGGGATGCCAGGCGGTCCGCCACAGTATATATATGTGTACAGTGGTTGCATAGAGGTTGTTTTTATTTGGAGCTTCAGTATGTGTTTACAGAGACCGTAGTGTTTGTATATATGGGTACTGTGTGCATGTGTGTATAAGAGTTGTAGTATGAATGGGGGTATTGTGGTTATCATGAAAAGATAGGTATTATATGGCATGGTGGGTATTATGACCAAGTCACTACACACATGCCTACTGACACACATACACACAAGGTCATGGCACACAAGCCCACTGACACAAGATCACTACAAACATACACAGAAGCACAAGCTCACTGACACACATGCATACATGCTCACAAACACACACAGACACTACAAACATACAGACAAGCACAAGGTCACTACACAAGCTTAGTGGCACACGGATACAAGGTCACATCACATAAGCTCACTGACATGCATACAAGCTCACAAACACAAAAACTTAGTGACACAAGGACACTACACACTCACTGACACACAAGCGCAAGGTTACTAAACACATGCTTGCTGATACATACACAATGTTAATTGACACACAGACACGAGGTCACTACACGCAAGCTCATTGACACAGACACAAAGTCAATACACACAAGCTCACTGGCACACAGACGCACGGTCACTGGCAGCAGACACACCGATTAGCACCTGCCTGTAGTGTACAGCGTGTGGTTGCTTCTCATGCTCTTGGTTGGAGCTTGCTGATACACTCAATAGTGTCAGATGCTCAATGATGTTCATGTGCCAGCTCCCCTCCATGTGGTAGTATGTCCAAGCCACAGGCCGGGGTAGAGGAACTTGCTTCCCTCTCTCCAGTCTAACAGGAAGTAGTTGAGCACTCTCTGTCAGACCGGAGAGAGGGAAAAATGTTCCTCTACCCCTGTCTGTGATTCGACTACGCTACATAATGAGACCAACATGAGGGGAGCCCTGTGTAGTGCGCGCCCTTCCTGCTGGTCAGCCGGATCCAGTGTCCCTAGGCAGCCTTATGGTAGCGCTGGCCCTGCACAGTGTACAGGGGTGGCAAAAGGCCGACCCTGTCAAAGTGCCGTCTGGAGTGTGGTAGGGATGTGCATGGGCAAAAAATTTGGTATGGTATGGTTTGGCACTTCTGAAATTCGGCAGTTCCCTAACCCTAACCCTACCCCCAACCCCTAACCCTTCTCCATAACCCCAACCCAGCCCTTAACCCTACTCCTAACCTGAACCCTAACCCAACCCCTATCCCCAACCCTAACCCTTACTAGGGTTAGATTCCGGCCATCATTCCCTTAATTTTTCCTCCCCCTCCTGTTTTGCCACTTTTTAAAAAGTGCGAAATTCGATTTGTTTTGCCACTTATGAAATTCGGACATTCCGAATGTCCGTATTGCCGAAATTCGTCCAAATTTCAATTTGGACCAAAACGAATTGCACAGGTCTAGAGTGTGGCATAGTTGGGGAGGTGAGTGTGACCGCATTGGAGGGGTTAATGTGATGGGGTAAGTGTGACATAATTGGAGGAAGAAGTATGACAGAATAATGGGAGGCAAGTGTGACAGGATTAAGGGGGTTAATGTGACAGGGTGAATGTAACAGAATTAAAATCTTTATGAGATCTTGTGTGGTAATTGTGTGGGTAGCAAGGGTGCTAAATATTGACATTTGAAAGGTCATTATACAAAAACTGAACAGCAATTTGTATCAGTAAAAAAGGAATATATAACTTTTATGATGTTGCCAAATCTTATCAGCAGCTGTGTATGTTGTTTTATTGCTTGATAACTGGTGGCGTGAGGTTTTTGTAATTATGAATGAACAGCAGATTCATTTCTCACTCCACTCCAGACTCTGGGTTCATAACCGGATATATCAAGAAGAAAATGAACTGTGTATGCATTTTCTAATTGTAATCTAACTATACTCAAAAAGCTGTATCTCTTGAGCAATATTATACTAGTAAGAGGTCATATTCCAAAAGGTTAAACTAGGGGGGGGGGGGAAATGGTATTTAGTTGGATATATATATATATATATATATATATATATATATATATATATATATATAAATAATCAAAGCTATGGGACACTGGAAATCTTCTGCTTACATTCTATACCAAACCCAGTTAAAAAGTTACGGCAAGCATTTCGTGATTTGTCCAAATAATTCATGTTTTGTAGTATGAATTAAATTTTGTATCATACACTTCTTTTTGCCCTCTTTATTACAGGCCTACTGCATTGTCTGCTCCGGCACACCACAACCGACTGGTGTTATCAACTATGTTTATTGTATAGGAATTATATGTAATCTTATGGCAATATTGCCCCGACCACAAATTTAAGGCTGGTCCTGTAGTTGTGGGAGGGGTTTGGATCCCCTTTAAAAGGGCTGCCAATCCTCTCCCACTTTACCGTTGTTGGTCTGGCGATTTGAGGGGCTACTTCCAGTCAAGTCGCCATTTTGCTGTCTCTTACCTGTTTTCCCTCATGGTTCTGGTTCCTGTTTCTACTTACCTGACCGCCCACCAAGCGCTACAAGCGCACTGCCTCCTCCGGCTTGCTTGGAGACTGGTTTCGTGTTCGGCT